ACAGTGATTCAAGCACATTTAAGAAATATTATAATGAATTTAAAAGAATTGATACAATGTGATGAACTAAAACACTTCCCCTAATGCTTCTCAGGCAAAAACTGTATCAAATTACTTCAGTAAAGTTTATTGCAACAAAAGTGATTCCAAAAGAGCTGTGTGTGTGTGTGTGTGTGTGTGTGTGCGTGAGAGAAACCAAATAAATCTAAATGTTGACTAACGATGACACAGACAAATTAGAGATGGCATAGCAAAAAAGAAAATCTACTATTTTTGCCAAAAATATTAACTAATTAAAATGATGTGGCCACGTAGCAATTATTTCAGCTGAAACATCTGCAGTGCCAGCTGATAATTTATTTAAGTCAGTGGCTCTCAGCCTAGGGTTTGTGAGATCATTCGACGGGGTCACAATGTGGTCATCAAGAAGAGAGTTCTATATTTTAGACAACATTTTTAGAGAATTATTTTCTCTGTCCAAGCTCCCAAAGTAATGATAATGACATGCTTTGCACATTAGGAGAGGAGGCTGTTTAGAGCACTGCAGCCCTGAGGTCAGTTGTTTTGTGAGTTCAAATTCAGTACAGCCTGTGAATTTATACAAATAAAGATCATGCTGTCTAAGCTGAACAGAGTAAATGGCAATAGCAAACAGCAAATAAAAGTAAGACAGATATGGTTGAACAGAAGTGGTTAGCTAACTGCATTATGTTCTCTCTGTAAAGGCATTATGTGGTTGTTAGCTACACTACAGCAGAGCATTCGATTCATAGCATTTAAAAGGCAATTCTGGGCCAAAACAAATCTCGTTTTACAATTGAACCACTTATACTGGTAGAAATGATAAACAATGCACTGAGACAGCTATTGAATCGTTACACCAACAGTAGTACATGACATGATGTCACTGAGTGACACTTACAAACACAAAACAGCCCAAATTTGTGTGATTGTTGGTAGAAGAATGTTCTCTCCCAGTCACTGTTTTTGATCGGGCCTGCTGTAGATGTACTTTGTATGTATGTAATTACTGGCTGTAGTCTGTAATAGTTTTAATATGGTAGATTTAAATGGAAACAAAAACAGCATAAACAGTCCTGTTAGTGTGCTTGTGATAGCCATAGCAGTCTGACACTGATAGTAACTATTCGTTAGCATTGTTTGCTGGAGCAGTTTACTGAAATAGCCTGCAAGATGTCTCAACAGCACATAAGCAGACGCTTCATAACACACTGGCGAAAGGACTGTCAGCCTATGAGCAGCTGAAGCAGTTCAAGTTAAAAACAAACCACGAGCTCATCTTGCTGAATTAATTCCGCTGTGGAGTGGCACCCTGTTACTGTCTGCAGCACCCAAATAACTTTGTGTCAAACAAAGTTAGCACCCTGTAGGAGGTGTGCTGACATAGATTCAGATGCGTGTTACGCTTGGCTCACCAAAATAAAAAAAAAAAACGCCAGCTCCCAAACAGAACGGCTGCTCAGTCTTCCTGCCGGCCTCTCTCCTGTCCCTCAGCACCTCACAAACACAGGAAACCTCTTGAACTCTGGGCTGAAAATTACAGAGAGGCCAAACAAAGGGACAGGACAGCAAGAAAACAAGTTCAGTATGTGCTCCAGACATATGAAAGAGAGCTCACACTTTATTCTGATGATCCACTGTAAATGCTATTTAATTTCTTTAAAGCTACACTATGTAAGTTTTTTTTTAAAGATTTTTTTGTTAAAAAACATGCTGAAATATGGTGTGTTTGCACTGCTGTGAGTCACCCTGTGAGGCCTGAAATAATTGGAGGTGATAGATTAAGTTTTTCTAGGAGTTTTTCGGACCATGCTATACATCTTTAACGTCACAGGCTCAAAAAGAAGGTCCGACTCAATGTTTAGGTCTTAAAATCAGCATTGATGAAAATATGATGTCAATAGTAGATCATTCACGTACATCCTTGGAAGACACGTTCTTCACCACGTTTTGACTGAGCTCTCTTTGCAAACACTTCAACGCAATTCATCAGGTTCATCTGCTCGGGGAAGGGAAAGCACAGCCAACGTTACCAAATGTCCTTCAGCGCATTGCATGCCGTTACACATTTCCACCCGAGAGGTCTCCACATCCCCAAAACTTACACAGTACAGCTTTAAAGTTGTTGGGTCGAATTTGGCAGGAGTTTTTCAGACCACGTCAGACATCTTTACATACAAGCATCACACACAAGGTCCAGCTCGAAGGTCCAGGTCCAAAAGAAGGTCCAGCTCAATATGATCTCGTTACCTGAGCAGTGGGGGCGTTGCTCACAGTGCTGATCTGTAGATTGCTAAAAGTTAGTGAAAGGAAGGAGAGAGATTCAAATATGAAGACATCAGAATGGCAAATCAGTCGTTTGTGGAGTCACCTGTGATTAAAGTGAAGAAATATAGAACTGAAGAGAACCGGTGTTACAGTAATCTGTCCTTTCCACTGGGTGGTTATACCAAGCACACACATATAATTAGTAGGCTATTGCAAAGAAAGACAGTGTTGAAAATGTTCTATTGTGTTTTTAATGTTAATTCAGTACAGACTCAGCTTAATATTACTATATAGGATTTAGATGAGGCTGAAGTCCGCTTCTTATTTGCCAGTTTCTTCAGATTTTTTAATTTTCCCATTCCACCTTAGATAGTGCCTGAGTGCCTCAGTGTCCTGAGGCCCCAAAATGTATCTGCTGCACCATTTAAGGTGGAACGGGAAATAAGAAGCTGACTTCAGCTTTGCATAATTTATGCTATCAAAAACAACCTACCAATTTTGTGTAGAGCTCTACCTATAAATATGCGCTATGGTAGGACATTTTAACAAGGTAGCACAATTCATCAGAATGCCGGCAAGCTAAAAGGGAGAGCCAGAGCTCAAGCTAAGACCAGAATTATCATTGGCTTGGCTTTTCAGAGGTGATGACAGCTCCATGACCTGAAGAGACTCAGGAGAGAGGCTGAATTGGCTTTTTTATTGCTGGACAGGTAAGTTATGTTGGTTTAGCCAGCCAGATAATTACTGTTGTGGAATTTAATGTTACCTTTGTAACATAATATAGTGTACCCTTGAAATTGTTAAGCCAATTAATTAATTTGCCAATTAATTTGATAACGATGTCTTTTTTTGCTTCAGAGTTCATCCTCTAGACCTACCGTTTGATAAACCAATACTCAGATCATTTTCAGTGCTACTGTCTGTCTTCTTTTGTAAATGCAACCAATATTGAATATATTTGGCTAACATTGCCTAGATAGGTATCTGTCTGAGTGGAACCTTACATAACTAATGGACATATGTGTCTTATGAATAGTAATGTTAGCTATCTGTTATCTGTGGTGAAGCAGACACAACTGATTACAAAATGTTCTTCCACACATTTCATGCAGTTACATATTTCCAACAGAGAGGTCGCCAATTCCCCAAAGTTGCCAAAGTTACAAAATGCAGCTTTAGTAAATATCTATTCAGTTTAGCTCAACTTTTCCCAAATCCTAAGCCTGGCACTCACTCTAACTCTAACATTATGCCCCAAACTTAAACTCGACCCCAACTCCAATTCTAATTCTATTCTAACCCTAACGCTGTTAATAAAAAACTTAAATACAGATTTAGCAAATAATTTGTAGATTTGCTCTGGGGCAATCAAAATAAAGCATGACCAAAGAAACAGTGTAATAACATAAAGCATTTTAGTTTTTTGCTAAATCATTTTAAAAGTATTTGACAAAGATTAATACTTCTTATTCAAGCTTCCTTCACAAAAATTCATGTAAATCAGTGCAAACACAATTAATTCAATACAGTTCTATGTTGTTTGAATCAGATGAGCTTTCTGCCACATCTGACACTAAATAAATATGTTTGGTGTGATATGGCAGATTAGTAGAACAGCAAATATCAGCACAATAAAACTGAAATATATTTGATTCACATGACATACTGTGGCACATTTTTGTTGTAACACTGTGTTGTAAAACTCTGCTGTATGGTGGCTGTACTTTAGCCGGGCTAGCTCTCACTGTGAGTTGTTTACATGCTTCAAAATTGTTCTGTATTACAGCCACCAAAGGTGTGAATCCTGTAACTCATGCATGCAACTTAGTAACTGAAAAAACATTTATGATAAAAAAATACTTTTATGGTACAAAAAACAGTCTTTAGAAATATCTGTTAAAATACTAAAAATACATTTTTCTTAAACCTGTTTAATCCCTTAAAATCCCAGGCTTATTACAGAGTAAGGCTTATTATTCAGAAACCACAGGGACTTCAGTGCTGAGCTTAGGTTATAGAAGTGTGTTATAAAATGTAGGGGTTAAATGCATTAAATATCCATTTTTCCTGGGTTAGTTTTTGCTCCATTATCCCTGACTGCATACACTCTTAGAAATAAAGGTTCTGTGCAGGCACATACCTCAAAGGAACAACAGTGGTTTTAAGGTCCAATCGTGTACCTTAAATAAGTTTTTCCAGGTGGAAACTTACATATTTGTGCCTTTCCTTAACCTAATGTTTTAAAACAGAACAATAAAATAAAAAGCCTGGAGACGAGACAAGGAGTGTGGAGTCAGTATAACTTAGTAAATATAATTTCAATGGAATATGGTACAATTATGTTCTCTGACTAAAGGTACTGAGATGTACCGTTCTGGATACCACCCCAGTGACAGTTCAGTACCTTTTTTTTTGAGTGTGTACAATCCTTCACAGATTATTACATGTTATGCTAATAACCAGCTCAAAATGTGCGTGTTTCTGTACATTCACTCTCAGCTGCTAAAGATAAAGGTGTAGGAATGAATCATGTGAAAATGTGCAAAAGCGTTTGGAGCAGACAGGGTGGTGACTGGTCTCAGTCACTCGTTCCACAGGCCGTTGACTTTTTTTCACACTGCTCTAGTGCACTTCATGTAATGAGCATAGCGAGAGGGAGGGAGAGAGGGAGGGCGGTGAAGTATGGACATGTGACCAGGTGCTGCTGACCTCCTGACTCTCTTATCATAACAGCCAAGTTGCTCCAAAGCCTCAAAGTCGCAGTGCTGTTGGATTATTGCGCCTTTCAGCCTCCGTGTGAGATACTTGGGACTTAAGTCAAGAGAAAGCTTCTGCAAACTTGTTAGGTGGAGAAGTGAGTGTGTGCATGTGTGTTTGTATGTGTTTACAGTAAGTTAAAGTGTCTGGGCGTTGTTTATTATTTCTGCCTCTATTGTTCCTTGCGGGGAGCGTGTTACATGTTTGTGTATGTCTTTGTACGGTAACGTACATGTGACAGGAGATGATTGTCCTTTTGTTCGCGCCCGGCCTTTCCAGGCTGGCATTTAATGCTTAGCTGTTGTTCGGTAGAGAAAAGAGCCACGCTGTGCTGTAGAATAGTAAGTGTTCAGAGTTCAGAGTTAAATTGCAACACACAGAAAGCAGGAAAGGAAATGCTTCAGGCTTCGGTATAATTGGGATAGTTAATTTGCGATCCAAACATAAACACACAAATAGTGTTGCTGCAAACATGTGTAACCCCATGCATTATTATCACATACTGGTGTGTTTCCTGTGGCAAAGCTGACAGGGGCATTGGCTCTGCACGTTTACTTTCTACATTACTGGATGACGGAAAAAGTGAGACCTTGTGAGTTTTGTCAAGTAGTTTTGTTTGGCAGCCTTGCCTGTCTTTCCTTTCAACTCAGTACTTTTCAGTGGTGGAAGTTTTGATATTGACAGGTTAGATAATAGCATGATGTGGCGCTGATTTTCAAGTATTGTGTGTTTGTGACTGTGTGTGAGTGTGTTCATCAAAATAACTGCACTAATGCTACCCAGCAAAACAGGAGACATGCTCCAGGAAGCTGAATTGTACAAGTGAGTGAATTCTGAGCTGTTTCGGGGCAAGCGTGTCATCCTGTTCAACATATCTACATATAACTTTTACCAGTGGGGCACCGTCAGGGCCTTCTAGGCCTTCAAAGTCTTAATGATTTCTGTGAATGAAAAAATATCATGCAACATTAATGTTGTTCTATTTAAACTCTGCAGTTGTAGCCACTACCACAAGTATTGTAGTACTAGTTTTATTGCATTGTTAAGTTTTGGTTGGAAACAAAGAGTTAAATTCTTGAAACTATCCAGTCAGGATATTTTTTTCTGCTATCTATGAAGATTCAACCAAGCTAGCGCTCCCATCAGTTAGGACTTCAGGGGCAGAACTAAAGGCCTAACATGCCAGATTAACCAATAACTAATTAATTAATTAGGAACCGATAGTGGAATCAACCATTGATTTCCAATGGGTAGGACCAGTTTTGTGAGAACTACATCATTCTAGGCTTTCTGGAGGTCCTAGAGGTGCCACTGACTGCGAGGACAAATGGTCACCTGACTCTTTACTGAAGGAATCACTGTACAACTGTTATAAGATAAAATGTGTTAAAATGTCTGTTACAAGCTTCAAATAAAATAAGTAATATCTTTTTCAAATATCTACATTTAACTTAGAATGGCCAAAAATGTTCATGTGAATCTGCATTAGCAAAGCACTAAAATGCTAGTAGAACCCCTTAGAGAAGCTAAAGAAATTGGCATTTATTGACATTTACGGCCCAAATCGAAAGCCTAGTCACGGTTCACCATTGACACTTACTGTTTGGCCTTAGTAGAGAGTTCAGAGGTCTGAGTGTTCTGCCAACAACTGTATTGGTTTCTTTCAACAAAACCTAAAGTAATTTATAGTTGATATTTGTTTTTCAAGAATACATTGCTTAAAATGATAAAAATGCAGCTGTTTGAGAAACACTTATTTGGAAAAATAGTCACCAAACCATCTGGATATTTTTGAAACCATAGGAAAAGGAGAAATGTACACTTTCTGGGCTCTGAAGGGAAGCTGGAAGAATGTGTATTCTCCAGTTTTGCAGAAACTTGTCAAATGAATGCCAGAGAGAGTTCAAGCTGTGCTTGAGGCAAACAGTGGCTCTACGAAATACTGAGCCATTATGACTTTAAGTAAATATAAGTAAATAATGATGCCGTCTCGGCTTTAGGAGCCACAGTGAAAAAAGCCTTAGGGCTTTCTTGTGTTATCCCTGACTATTTCTGTTTTTATTAATGATTTCAGTGGTTTCAAAGTTAATGTTTTACCCTCAGCAACCCACAAGAACTTCAGCTGTAACAAGAATCTATGAGATGTATGAACGAGTTTATATATACTGTATGTATTGAGTGTATGTTTAATATACAGTATGTCTAAGATACAGTACTGTCCAAAAGTCAGAGAACACTTTTCATTTATTTAATTTCAAGTCAAAATGATCATTAAGTATACGTTATCCTTTTTTCATTTTTTTCATTTTTAAATGTATTTTTTTTAGTATTTAGTTTGTTCATCCCTTGCCTTTTTATAGCTTGAATTCTTTTCAGGAGACTCACTTTCAGTTTTTCAAAGAAATCTGCAGGGATATTTTTCCACACCTCCAAAGTTCAGTCTTAGACGTTGGTTGCAGTTTTTGTGTTCTAGTGCAAATTGTCTTCTTTTCTTTCTTGAAGATGAAAGCTTTAATCATTGTTCATCTGATTTGGTGGTCTGCTAGGTGCACAGTTGTTAGGATTCACATTTTCTCTGTATGTTTAATTTTTTTTAGCTCCAGTTTTGGAAACTCCTGACTTTTCACTTATTTCCTTTTGACTTCCCTCTTATGTAACTGGATTATCTTATATCTAATCTCAGAAATATCTCATTCTAGTTGCACATGGGAACACAATTCGTGAGGCAGTTAAAGTCTGTTTGGGTATTTGGTTGTGTGAATGTTAGTATCTCTTTGAAGGAGAACATATTGTTAGTCACTTTTTCAGAACAGCTTTTGTTGAGAGGACACAGCTGTATCTGGTTGGTTTTAAGATTGGTGGGATGGAAGAGTTAAAGTGGCTGAGTTAAAGAAGCAAAGACTGAACAAATTAAATTCTGATGGATTTGATATTAGACTTTGTGCAGATTATTTTGTGTAATTTTTTAAATATGTGTTATCTGCTTTTTTCTGACACTGAAAAAATAACTTGTACTTAATGGCTGTCTTAACTGGAAATATAATTAATCAAAGGGTGGTCCTTGACTTTTGCACAGTACAGTATATGATAATAAATGTAATAAATGTATTCTGCTGAAGCTTATTTTGTTCTCTCATATAGACGTAACAAAATGCACTGCTTTTAAGCAAATAAGACAAATGAAATGAATTACGATTAACCACCAAAATGTGATCCAACACATTTAAATCATTTTAATGATTCATTATTTTCTTTGACAGGCCTAGTTTTATATTACAGTATAACATACTTTAAGGTGGTAATAGTGCTGTTTGTGTTAAATACATGAAATAGTAATACATAATCATAATACAATATAATTAGACAACAGAATGCAAAAATGATTCTAATTGGTGAAGTAAAAAAGGGTTCTTAATAGATTTAAACCCTACTTAATATGACAAAGTACGTTCGCAGTTGAATTTGTACTGTCAACACTCTGTAAATATGCATGAAAAGATAAAGGCAGTATTTTAAAAGAGATTGGCAATAAAGACCATCTAACCAATGAACACAAGTATACAAAGCTTAACAATTGCTGCAGAATTAGCCTGCCTGAGCCAACTAGCCTACAATAGGCTAACTGGCTCTGGAATCTTTATAAGCTGGCACATTAGTATTCTCAAGCAGAGGAGTCATTTTTTGAAAAACAAGACATTGACTGTTATTCTCAGTGTTGTGAAGACTTGGCTTACAGTCTGAAAATTGTATCAAAGTAATGAACTGTTCATTGATTTTGTTTTCATTCAAAATAATGACAGCTCTCCAGAGTCTCCCAGTTAAAATGTTATCTGTGATTGAAAGTGCAAAGTTGATGGAAAATGAACAGCGCCAGGAACTGGTGAATTGCTAAAGCTGGTGATTTTTATCTCATGCTGTATTTATGGAGCGTGTTGGTTGTTTGAGATTTGAAGCTTTACCTTTACTTTCCACCTTCTCTTTATCTCTCTCTCTCTCTCTCTCTAAATATAGTGTTGAGGAGGAGACTCAGGCTTCAGAGTCAAGCCCCTTTTCAGACAGCAGTAAGGTCCCCTACACCCACCGCTCTGATCGCTACAACGACGGCAGCTGTGGCCCCCCGGGCTCTCGGGGGCCGGTGGTGGCCCCGCCAAGCCCAGCCAGCCTCGCCTGGGCCCAGCGCACTCGCAACCAGCCAGCAAGCCTGGCCTTGCGCAAGCAGGAGGAGGAGGAGAACAAGCGGTGCAAGGCTCTATCAGACAGCTATGAGCTATCCACAGACCTCCAAGATAAGAAGGTACAGAGCTCATGATGTGACTTATACAGTTCTTATACAGGGCTCTTTTTTCTTGTTACTATTTTTCACTTTTTAGAATAATAGAGAAAACATCAAAACTATGAAATAACTGACTAAAAAGCTCCTCTGTGCTTTGCACACTTAAGGCCAGAGGTTCCCAAACCTGGAGTTTCATTTGTAAAACTTGAATTTCATTATTTATTCTAAGAAAGACTGAATATATGCACATGACTTAGGCAGCATCCATAGATATCCAGATATTATTGAAAACATGATTTTTAAAAACATGCATGCCAGTCGCTGTTTTCATGCACAAATCTGTGGGAAATACAGCTAATCACTGAGTTGGTTCTGTGTGCTCAGCAATGTAGGTGTGATTTTGGGGTTTGTATCAGGTTTATAATGGAATTTAGCTTTACTCTGTCAATACACTGTAGTGGAGGGCTGTCAGAATGGACTGCATTCCGTTTGAAATATTGCAAATATTAAATATATCTCGCATGTTGCGTTCTCGAGTGGACTGAAAGATTTTTCAAAACAGTGTTGGTATGGACAAAGATATTTTTTTAAACTGAGGAAAAAAAGTTTTTGTAGTATATAAAGTATACATGATTCTTATTGTTATGCTAAAATGTGAAAAAAGTAAAAAAAAATATATATATATAGCCGCAAGCGGCAATGAGCGGGTTCAGGCATGCAGCAGCAGTACGGGCCCTTCTGCAGGTTTAGCTCATTAGGCCTAAAAGACCTCAAGCTTTTGGTTTAGCCCATTAGGCCTAAAAAGGCCTCAAGCTTTTCGTTTAGCCCATTAGACCTAAAAAGGCCTCAAGCTGTGGGTCTTATTCATAGGTAGAGTGAATAGAACTGATAGGAAGTCAGTTCATCAAAAGACCTTCAGTTGCCATAAACAACAAGCAGTGGTGTTTTAAACACATTATAGGTTTGCATTCATATGTACTGATCTACACTGCTTTGTAGACAATCCAAGAAGTTGCACTTGCACAGTGGATTGGTTCTGTATTTAAGCCATTGATTTGATGTAGAATTAGTGAAAAGGCCACAGTATGGTATCATTCTTGATTAGGGACCATATCCAAAGACGTTCACCAAGATTTGGTCAGAATGACCTTTTGACCTTTGTATAATAAGCCTTTGTATAGTGAAATCTTTGAATGAATAAGCCAAAATAAAAGACAAGCAGTGCAATTTTTGACATAACATGTAATTAGAAAGTTGTTCATATGAGTGAACTGAGTCACATGGCACCAATTGTTTATATGTCGACCTTGTAATAACATTGTAATAGCATTTTTGTTGATTTTTAAGTGTTTTTGAGTGCTAAAGCGCCCCCTTAAGGTCAATCTGGACCAAAATTGGCAGACACCATTGAAGTTTAAATATGTAAATATCCTTTAAGTTTGGAGATGATCTGACCAATGACTGTTGAGTTATAGCAAATCAGGCTAGCAATGCCATGTTTGCAGTAATTAATTGTTTGATTCTCAATACATTGAGTGGAACAGTCAAAATCTTTTTGATAATTATTGAGGACCAGTGTCTTCTGAATCTTAAGATACTAATTTGATGATAATTGGCAAAAAATCCTGAGACTAGTTTGCAAGAATAGGTTTTTCACATTATGCACATTAGCTCAAAAACTAAGCGGGTGGGGCTAAAAGTGACTGGGTACACTTGTTCAGCACATTCCAAGTAATCAGCAGAAAAAAGAATTTTGTCTCTATCTCACTCTGATCAAAAGTTACAGGCAAAAATATGAGTAAAGTTGAAAAAGATGAAAAGTTGAAACATAGGACTAAAGTAAAGTATGAGCTCAGTGAAAGTGGGTCAGAATTAGTGAAAAGGCCACAATATGGTATGATTCATGATCAGGGACCATATCCAAAGATGTTTACCAAGTTTTGGTCAGATTGACCTTTTGACCTTTGTATACTAAGCCTTCGTATAATGTAGTCTTCGAATGATTAAGCCAAAATACCAGACAAATAGTACAATTTGTGACAGAACTTGTACTTAGAAAGTTGTTTAGGTGAGGGATCTGGTATGGCACCATTTGTTTATCTGTCGACCTTGTAATAACATTGTAATAGCATTTTTATTGATTTTTAAGTGTTTTTGAGTGCTAAAGCGCCCCCCTAAAGGCCAATCTGGACCAAAATTGGCATACACCATTACAGTCCAAATATGTAAAAGTCCTTAAAGTTTTGACATAATCTGACCAATGACTGTTGAGTTATAGCTAATCAAGCTAACAATGCCACGCTCGCAGTAATTAATTGATTTATCCACACAACCCTGAGTAGAAAAGTCAACATGTTTTTGATAATTATTTACCTAGAGATGCCAAAGAATTTTTCTAGACCAAGTTCGAAAAGATTGGATCAAAATCCAGGGACTAGTTCGAAAAGTAGGCTTTTTAAACAGTTACCGATTACAAAAAAACTATGCACTTGTAATAAATATGCATTTGCAAAATTGTTTGGAATAACATACTACATATGATACACAAGGATGTTCAAGCAAACTTGTAATAAAATAGTAATAATATGTAATAATATGTTAATTTTTATGAATAGCGCCCCCCAGTGCTCAATTTTTTTCAAACTTTATTGATTGTTAGAAAGTGGCTATATGTAGAGATCATTCAAGTTTCATGATGATTGGTCAATGTTAAGCCTGTCAAAAGCCTGCTAAATTCTGATTGGCCGATGGCGACCATATACTTCAATGAATCAAATTGTCCTTATGGATTCACTTATAGTCTGGCCAACAGATGGTATCTGCAAAGTTTCAGCCTGATTGGATGTACGGATGCTGAGAAACAGCCATGTAGCATTAACCCCGCCCCCTAATGACATATGCGCACAAAAATCGAATGGCTACCTCAGAATCTTCTCCCAAATGTGTCTGTCAAGTTTGAAATTTTTTGGCTGAAGGGTTGTCGAGTTACAGAATTTTAAATTAATTCTGAATTATTTTGAATTTATCCAGAAGGGTTCATTTGCATATGACAGCCATGTTGTTTAGAAAAGTCAAAATGTTTTTGATAATTATTGAGGTTCAGGCTCTTCTGAATTTTTTGACACCAAAATCTTGAGGATCGGGCAAAAATTGTAGGACTAGTTCACAAAAGTATGTTTCTTATATTATGCAAATTAGCTCAAAATCTAAGTGGGCGGAGCTACATGGTCCAAATGGCAAAGTTGTTTGTTTGGACCCAAGGAACTTGGAAAAAATGATGTCTTTTCTGGCAAAAATCTGCTTTAGGAGTTATAGACCCAAACGCGTTGACCTACGCTATAGCGCCCCCTTGTGGTCGACTGGGCTGATTCCTTGCGCCTGAGTAGCGGGAGGGACTACTACCTATTGACCAAGTTTCAAGTCTCTAGGACTTACGGTTTGGGCTGTGCGTTCCGTTTCAGGGAAGAAAAGGAATAGGAAGAAAAATCTTGACAATTCCAATAGGGTTCAATGCATTGCATGCTTGTACCCTAAAAAAGCAAAACCTTAAATGAGGAAGTGTATCCAAACATGTGACAACTGAAAATCAGGTGCATTCAAAAAAGGCAAACAAAGCAGCTGTTTATCAGTAAGTAAAATGTCTGAGTGTTTTAAGTGTTAACTTGTCCTTAATAGGCAACAAACCGAATAAATAAAGCATTTATTGTGCAGTAAGATCAATTTAGCAAGTAAAGAATGTTTCTTTAAATTATTTGAATTTTGCATGACCTTTACTAAGTTGTTTTTATGGCAATGGAAGATTACACTTATGTCATCTATAAGAAGTCAGTACATTGCAGTACATTGCAAGTCCAATCTACAGATGTGTTATAAATGGTGCACTTGATCGTGGAGCACCTCTGCTCTGCACATTGTAATGTTTTCCTGCTCTAAAACATTATAACTGAAGAAGTGCTTGTGAATCAGCTCACTGGTTGGATCAGGTATATTGGGAGCAGGGAAAACAGTCAAATGTGTAAGGAAAGGCCTCTCCAGAACTAGGACTGGACTATGTTGCGGGCAGCTTCATAAAGAGCCATCTAAGATCCAGAAGGCTTAGATGGTTCCTGTTGGATGTATATGCTGATGCTAAAGTCACATTTTTTTTTGGTAATTTTATTATGGAAATTCAACTATTTATATTTTTTCTCAGAAACAAATTTCAAGCACTTAAGCATGAGGCTTATAGATCAAAATGTCTTTAATTTACATTACATTATACATTACATGTTCAGAGAAATTCCAAAGTAGCAATGTAAGAACCACTGCCATCTACAAAAAAATTAAAATGGTAGTGCAGATCTAGAATCAGATTTTCCAGACTTTGCTACTTTCTAAGAAGCCAAACTGAACCAAACAGCAGTCCATCAATAAGACTAATAAGACGGTATAAATGTTGCCTCCTCCTTAGTGGTTTTTAAGTAACAGAAAGAAACTCTTCTGATGTTCTCAGCAAACTGAATAACCTGAACTGGGCTTCATTAAGTTTAATCTAACAGAACATGCATCACATTCCAGGTGGAGATGCTGGAGAGAAAGTATGGCGGCTACTTCCTGAGCAGACGAGCGGCGCGTACCATCCAGACTGCCTTCCGGCAGTATCGCATGAACAAGAACTTCGAGCGCCTGCGAAGCTCGGCCTCCGAGAGCCGCATGACGCGCCGCATCATCCTGTCCAACATGCGCATGCAGTACTCATTTGATGATCGGCAGCCTCAGGCGCAACCACAGAGCCACCACAGCCCGGGCATGGGCCCTCCACACTCACCAGACCTGGAGCCTGGACCACCCACCCGCCCGGGGGACTACACCCACCTAGAGGACTCATTTTCCAAACAGGTGGGAGTCTCTTTCTCTTACTCAGATCTCTTACAAACAAGTTACTTCTGGTGGGAAGGCCAGGAATCTCGCAATGGTACTATATAATTCTATATAATTCAACTTCAATAATTATGGATTAATATATGCATTTCCTGATGTTTAATTTAAAGTCTGTTTGTTTTGAACTTTGATGAAAACAAAATACTTTTTCTGGCATAAACAAATTTTTTATGAAAAAAAATTTATTAAAAAGTTTTCAAACAAGCATTATCACTACTGAAAAAATGTTTGATTTTTTATCATTTTATCACCAAAAGCTATTGTGCATAATATCTTATGCTGCATTTACATGTTAGCTGGTGGCAGTTGAATAACTGGATATTCCATTGTATCCAGAGGAGCAGTGACAGAAAATTATGCAAGCAGCAGCAGCAAAGTGCAGCAATCAGCAGAACAATCTGTCAATAGGTCAATTTTCCTAACTTTTGCTATTATAGGTAGCAATGGAATTAACCACATGTTGATTTTTTCGAGAACCATGGACTTCAAAACTCTCCTTGTTGATGTTCAGTGTTTGTTATTACTGCAAGGATTTCCCTAATAGGTGAAACACCCATGGAAACACCGCAGGTACTCCAAAGTACTCCAGGACCAAGACTGGAAACCCTGTGGTAGAGTCTTGAAGTTCATAATTGATAATGTTCATGGTATTTTATTCTTTAGGTTAAGTCGCTGGCCGATTCCATTGACGATGCCCTGACGTGCCGGCCGTCCAGAGAAGACTCCCAGGAGGGCATCGGGGACAGCAGCGGCGTGGTGGACGATTTTGGTGAATGCATCTGGAGCAGCAGCAGCCACCCGTCCCTACGCCGTGGCCTGGGCGACCGGGACAGGGGCGGAGGGGGTGGCGGCTTGAGCATGCATGAGGACAGCACGGCCACTTCATACAGTGATGTCACCCTCTACATGGACGATGGTCTGCCATCCTCACCACTCTCACTGGACAGAGCTCCGAGCAGTACAGACACAGAGTTCTGGGGAGGTGGTGGGGGGAGCAGTGGAGTCGGCGGTCGAGAGGACAGCCGCGACACGGAGGGGGGAGGTAGCAGCAACAGCCGCAGGAGCACACCTTGCACAGAGTGCCGCGACTACCGCCTCCGTGGGGCTCACCTGCCCTTGCTCACTATCGAACCGCCCAGCGACAGCTCTGTGGACATGAGTGACCGCTCAGACCGTGGCTCTCTTGGCAGGCAGTTGGTGTATGAGCAGGACTCGACCGGAGGATCCCCGCAAGGCACATTAAAACACAACCCCAACGCCCGCTCAGTTACTGCTGCAGCGCAGGGTCAGACGCGTCCAGCTAGCCGGCCTTTGCCATCACACATCCCCCACCACGTAGCGCACCACCATCACCACCACCATCACCACCATCATCACCAGTACCCCGACACGCCATCGTCTTCTTCTTCCCCCCAGCAGCCCCCAACCACGCCACTCTCCTCCTCATCCTCCGCCCCACTGCCCCCTGGTGGCCTGGATCAGCAGTGCTGCTCGGACGGTGACAATGACTCTCTAAACTCCACCACTAACTCTAACGAAACCATCAACTGCAGCTCCGGCTCTTCGTCCAGGGACAGCCTGAGGGAGCCACTGCCACCTCTGGGCAAGCAGACCTACCAGAGGGAGAGCCGTCACAGTTGGGACTCGCCTGCCTTTAACAATGACGTGATGCAGAGGAGGCAGTACCGCATCGGCCTCAACCTCTTTAACAAGTAAGTACAATGTTCATAATTGCTTTCACAAGGTTTACGCTTTAATTGCTGCTCTTGGTTCACTACAGTGACCTGCCTTATTATGGTTTGTGTCTCTTTAAACCGTAGGAAACCAGAGAAAGGCATCCAGTACCTGATAGAGCGTGGTTTTGTGTCAGACACGCCTGTCGGTATTGCCCGCTTCATTCTGGAGAGGAAAGGCCTGAGCCGGCAGATGATCGGGGAATTTCTGGGCAACAGACAGAAGCAGTTCAACAAGGATGTGCTTGAGTGAGTTGGCCTGGGAGTCCGTAGACACTGAAATGAATGCATTTAGAGACAATAGGGAGGCCTACTTTGAATCAAAACGCAGAAAGGCATTTAAATCGACAGTTAGAAAAGACGGTATCTACGAAAGGGTCAAAAGTCAGAGACCACCTTGTATGTATTTGTATACTTGTATCATGTAATTAATTTCAGGTCCAAATGCCAATTAAGTACAAGTTATTCATTTTCAGGAGATATTTCCCAGAAGGCTTAACAACTAAATATAATAACAATAATGTTAGTGTTTAGCGTGTGCACTCTTTGCCTTTATTGTGGCTTCCATTCTTTTCGGGAGACTTGTTTTCAGTTTTTTAAAGAAATCTGCAGAAAGTTTTTCTAAGCTTTTAAAGTTCAGTTGTTAGGATTTCCACTTTCCCTATATCCTTGAAGGTTTTTTTGAATTTCAGTTCTGGAAAATGCAACTCAGAAACATCTCTTGCAAAATGAATAGCTTTTTGACTGGAAATTAAATAAATGAGATCGTTCCCTGACTTGCACAGTATTGTAAGTAGCTATACAAATTCTTTCCATGCCATCTCTTTTCTGTTTCAGTTGTGTGGTAGATGAGATGGACTTTTCTGGAATGGATCTAGATGATGCTCTGAGGAAGTTTCAGGCCCAGATCAAAGTGCAAGGAGAGGCCCAAAAAGTGGAACGGCTTATAGAAGCTTTCAGGTGGGATGATTTGTTGCTGTTGGTTAATGAATACAGATTATATTAGAATTATACATTTACAGCTACTAATATTTCTGTCCCATACTTTTTTAGTAGTAGCTTTAATTTAATGAGGTATTGAATATGTGTATTTATCTAATGCAATATCTCTCTTTCAGTCAGAGGTATTGTGTATGTAACCCTGCGTTGGTGCGCCAGTTCCAGAACCCCGACACTATCTTCATCCTGGCCTTTGCCATCATCCTCCTTAATACAGACATGTACAGCCCCAGCGTCAAAGCAGACAGGAAGATGAAGTTGGATGATTTCATTAAGAACCTGCGAGGTGGGATTCCAATCATATTTGCACATATGCGCACTCTCTTACATACACACACACCTTTTTGATTATCTGCCAGTATATCAATTCAGTTTATTGCAGTTTAAAGGAATCGTCATCCAGTATAGTTAACAACGGATGAAAGCTAATGGAGATCATTTAGCATTATCTCATCTACAAAATTATGCAATTCCCCAGCATCCTTCATTCATTATTAGCAATACTAGCATTTAAATATTCCTTTTAGGAAAATCCAGTCTATAGATGAAGCAACACTGCACCACTCTGCATGCAGAAGCAGTTCAAAAACAAGTCGATTATCTCTGTCCCTCAGGAGTTGACAATGGGCAGGATATCCCACGTGACCTGTTGGTTGGTATCTACCAGCGTATTCAGAAGTGGGAGCTTAGGACCAATGATGACCACGTCTCCCAGGTCCAGGCTGTGGAGAGAGTCATTGTGGGCAAGAAACCAGTGAGTTTATGTTTGTTTTAGCCATATTTAAAGTAGATATGTTAAAAGTTGGTTGATCTGTTCGCATGTATCAGACCTCATTTATGTTACATTTCATTATGATTTCATGTCATGCGTGTCTGACTTAAAGTCATTGAACTGTCCATGTGCAGGTCCTGTCTCTTCCTCATCGTAGGCTGGTTTGCTGCTGTCAGCTCTATGAGGTGCCTGACCCCAACCGGCCCCAGCGGACTGGAGTCCACCAGAGAGAGGTTTTCCTCTTCAATGACTTGCTGGTGGTACGCCTATCAATTTCTTTGTTGTCATGACAACCACATCAACAGCAAGCACATGACATTTCCTTATAGGTACTGGTTGGCTCTTATTTGACTCTTGTTCTTTATCTGATAGGTAACAAAGATCTTCCAAAAGAAGAAAACCTCAGTGACATACAGTTTCCGACAGTCCTTCCCTCTGGTGGAGATGCAGGTTCACATGTTCCAGAACTCCTGTAAGATTTAGTCTGTATATTCAAAAAGTGCTTACAGTTGTGAAGATTAGAATAACTAATACACTGTAAGCTTGTTTGGAGAGCTCAAAAGCTGTAAAAGTAGTGTTCCCAATATCAGTCTCACTTTCTTGTTCTCTCCTTCTCTCTCTCTGTCAACTACTCCTTCTCTCAGACTACCCTCATGGTGTCAGACTAACATCAGCGATCCCGGGCGGAGAGCGTAAGGTGCTGATTGTGTTCAACGCACCAAGTCTGCAGGACCGTACACGCTTCGTCAGCGACCTGAGAGAAAGCATCGCTGAGGTGCAGGAGATGGAGAAATACAGAGTGGAGTGTGAGTACAGCTCCCTCTGCTGGACCTTATAGTGAACCAAACTTCCCTTGTTTTGTCTGACAACTGCAATAAGGACATTAGGTCATAAGAAGTAACTAAATATCTCATTTCAAATCCTGAGTGTAATGTTTCAGAGAGAAGTCACAGAAAGGCATTCACACAGTCTGACAAATCAGCATAATTAATTTCACGAAGCCTCTCTTGAAAGACTTGCTTTAGAATTAAATCTAATTGACTGTAAATCTCTTGACTCTATTGACTGTAAAATCTAATTTCATCTGTAAGTTGGGGAATACGAGGCACTGCTTCTACTCATATCTCCTCCTTATTTTTGTAGTCTTATTTCTGTGTTGCTTGTTGTGTAAGCTTCAGTGCTCTGCCACAAGCAAGATAAGCGTCTTCTTGAACCTTTGCATGGACTGCAAGTGTGTCAGCAGAGCTCTGATTGGCCAGCCTGATTTTTAGCGCAATTGTACAATACAAAAAAAATCAAGCTGGCTCTGATTGAAAGTTTTATGCAGTGATATTGTCTGTCAGTTTCTGACTCAATGTGAAGGATGGCATTAACATGAGTGAGTTTGTTTTCAGTAAAAATAAGACTCGGTATGAATAGGACTTTGCGGATTAAGAAGTAGCCCTGCTGCTTTTTTGGTGGTATTGGTGGTAGTGCTGGGTTCTTTATAGCTCTGGGTTTTAAACACTAGCATTAGCATTTGGGTGGCACTGAGATGCAGTGAGTAGTGCTGTCACCTCACAACAAGGGCCTGGGTTCGATTCCCCGGCTGAGTGACCAGGGTCCTTTCTGTGTGGAGCTTGCATGGACAAAACATAAGGTTTTAAGATGGCTACTGTTTTAGCTATGCAGTTTATTTTGTCCATTTTTGACAAGTCCATTTGAGATTGCTTAATAAGTTGAAGACATCTGAAGTAAGTGCCTGATTATTTAATGTAAGATTACATTGCTAATTAGCTACATTAGCTTCATAGCTCCAGTGCAAAACAAAGAAAGTAAATTTCATATAAAAGATATTCTGTTTTACTTCCATTTACTTTTTCCCCATCCCCATACTAATCAACAAGCTTGGCTTGGACACTTTAATTGGCTCAGAGTGCCAAGAAGACGGCTCATGGTTTGGGTAAAACTCCTTAGAGAAAACTATTGTAATTTTAACTCACTGAGTCCTGGGGGTGATAATGTCTGTTTTTTCATGTGAAGTGAAATCTGTACATGATTTGATCAGTGAAAACGTATGTTAATGCAATGTTTAAATTGTAAATAAATGTAAATAAAAACAGAATGCAACAATTTGCAAATCTCATAGACCCATATTTTATTCACAGCAGAACATACAACACAGATCAGCATCTCAAAAACGTTGGGACAGTGCCATGTCTACCATTGTGTAGCATCCCCTCTTCTTTTAACAACAGTTTGTAAACGTCTGGGAAGTGAGGAAACCAATTGCTGGAGTTTTGATAGAGGAATGTTGTCCCATTGTTGTCTAATGTAGGATTCTAACTGCTCAACAGTCCTGGGTCTTCTTTGCCGGCCTTTTTGTTTCATGATGTTCCAAATGTTTTCTATTGGTTAAAGGTCTGGACTGCAGACAGGCCAGTTCAGCACCTGGACTCTTCTCCTGCAAAGCTGTACTGTTGTGATGGAGGCAGTATGTGGTTTAGCATTGTCTTGCTGAAATATGCAAGGCCTTCCCTGAAAGAGACATTGTCTTTATGGGAGCATATGTTGTTCTAAAACCTCTGTATACTGTTCAGCATTCATAGTGCCTTTCCAGATGTGTAAGCTGCCCACGCCGTAGTCACTAATGCAACCCCATACCATCAGAGATGCAGGCTTTTGAACTGTGCACTGATAACAAGCTGGATGATCTCTCTCCTCTTGAGTTCGCAGGACATGGCGTCCATGGTCTCCAAAAAGAATTTCAAATTTTGATCAATCTGACCACAGAACAGTTTTCCATTTTGCCTCAGTCCAATTTAAATGAGCTTAGGCCCAGAGAAGACGGCAGCCTTTCTGGATCGTGTTGACATATGGCTTCTTCTTTGCATGATACAGCTTTAACTTGCATTTGTGGATTGCATGGCGAACTGTGTTCACAGACAGTGATTTCTGGAAGTGTTCCTGAGCAATGCAGTGATTTCCAGTACAAAATCATGCCTGTTTTTAATGCAGTGCTGCCTGAGGGCCCAAAGATCACGAGCATCCAATATTGATCATCGACCTCATGCCCATCTTTACTTTTGAGAGACTCTGCCTCTATAAAATGCTCTTTTTATACCTAGTCATGTGAGTTAGTTGCAAATCGCTGCTCCACCTGTTTTTTTTAGTATCACTTACTTTTCCAGCCTTTTGTTGCCCCTCTCCCAACTTTTTTTGAGACGCGCTGCTGCCATCAAGTTCTAAATGAGTTAATGTTTTTCATGAAATGGTAAAATGTCTCACTTTAAACTGATCTGATGTGTTCTGTGTTCTATTGTGAATAAAATATGGGTCTATGAGATTTGCAAATCATTGCATTCTGTTTAACATTTATTTACAATTTATACAGTGTCCAACTTTTTTGGAATGGGGGTTGTAATATTTTGCTTTATTCTCCATCTGCACTCTTTAATGTTTTGCGTTGGCTTTTCTCTCATGCAGCGGAGCTAGAGAAGCAGAAAGGTGTGATGCGGCCCAGCCTTTTGAGCAGCAGTGTGGTGGGTGGAGGTGTGGGCGGGGTCAAGAGTGAAGTGGTGAATGGCACAATAGGAAGACCCAGTCTGGACGACAACTACTCACCTGGCGAAGGCCTTAAACGCACTGCTCTCAGCTCCTCACTGAGGGACCTGTCTGATTCAGGTGAGAGACACACACAATAAAGTACACAAAGTTACACTGTATAGACACTATAACAAATGCCATCATACACATTGTAATGAAACAACACACACACAAATATGTCTATGACTTGTAACAAAATTTGCTTTTAAACGCACAGATAAGCATCTTAAAACTAAACACACGTGCAAACATAGACATTAAATTTCTTACACGCTGTGGAAATACTTGACATGTCCTGATTGGATGCAGGGAAACGCGGTCGCAGAAACAGCGTTGGTTCCCTTGACAGTACAATGGAAGTAAGTCTGAGTGGAGCAGAGGTCTGTATCTTTAGCTTTCGCCCAAAAACCCATCACCAAAGTGACCACCACCCCACCCACGTCGCATGTCTGCCTGGAGAATCCCCTGCCCCCTCCCACCAAAAGCCACCTTGCATGTGTCTTTACCACCCCCACAGAGCCAGAGCCATAACTATGTATGCCTGTGTATGCACGGTGATATGCCCCCTGCTAGTGCATCAGAATGACAGTTTACTGTACATGTGCCGCGGAGAAGACGTCACCTACTGAATCTCTATGGCTGCGTGAGCCTTTGAATATTAGATCTGTGGATGGATGGATTTGCTGTTTTTGTTGTTGTTTCATTTGCAAGTAGGCCTGTCACAATTACGTAATCGTCTGATTGCAAGTACTCAAGTCGATCACGATTATTTAAGCTTTCTGCAATTACATCCACCTTTCTTAGCTTTCAGTCGTATGTTTACATCACAACAAACGGAATGTGAAGGGTGTTTTTTCATGAGTTGGGTTGAGGCAAAAAATGTAAATAAAAGGAAGCAGAAAACACATTTATTAAGGCACAAAACAGATCTAACGAAATTCTTAATTTCTTATTGGTGCTATAAACACCTTCAGAGGGCAGTGGTGAGCAATGTTTGTTTATATATGTTGGTTAACACTTTCAGATGGCACTGGTGAGTAATGTTTGTTTATTTGAACTCTAGCTGTGTCTGTCACTGGTTGGGAACTACTAAAAGTCTACAGCTTGGCTAATCAGCCAAGTTGGCTAATTTAGTCTTGTACTTTAATAGCTGCATACAATGTACAAAAATGACAACTAATTGTTAATCACAATTATATATATGGCAATGACAGTTATATATATGGCAATTGTCGGGTAAATTGTCATGATCGTGACAGGCCTATCTGCAAGTACTGTGACGTATATGCAGTCTTCATGCATGAACAACCAGCATTAGTTGTTTTCAATGCACCTTTGTTCTTTATTTCTTGTGATCCAGCATCTGTGTTTGTCTCGATGTTTGTGTGATTAAATATTACTGATAGTAATAGTATATTACTGTATCATACGGAAATGAGGTTGTTCCATGACTCTAATCAACTCACCCGTTTCTCCTCCCCTGTCCTATGAACCTGTCACACTACCTGTCCTTTCTCCACTATTTCTCTTTCTTTCCTTATTTCTCCTGCTCTTCTCATTATTGCTGTGCACTCTCACCCCTCCGTTACCCCTTTCCTCTCTGTTTCTGTTGTTTCCCCTTTCCTGCCCTGCCTTTCCTCCTGCTTTCTCTGCAATCCCCGCCCACTGGAACCCTCTTGGTTTTCTTTTGCTTTTCTTTCCTCTTGCCCTCTTCCTGCTCTTCCTCCTTTCCCCCCACTCTCTTTGTCTTAGGGTTCCATCATTAGCAGTCCTCGGCCTCACCAGCGTTACCCAGTAGCCACTGTACTCCCGAGCTGCTATGGAGCCGAAGATTACCGGCCTCACCGCCCCATCCTGAGCCCCGGAGTGGGGGTGGGGGGTGGGCCGGGGCAGCAGCAACAACACACCACACCTGCGGTGGCTGGCGCTGGGCCAGCCTCCAGCAGCAGCAGCAGCGAGAGAGGAGCCAGTGGGACGGGGAGTGGGACGAGCACGGCTGGCTCCTTCCTGGGATCCCTGTTTGGGGGCAAACGGGCCAAAACACCGGGTCCCATTATCCCCCCGGGGCCACCCTACCCCGCCCCCGTGGCCCCACCGAGCACTGGAGGGCCACCGCCCCTCTCCCCTTCCCCGTGCTCGGCGGAGGCCGGGGGACCTTCCAAGATCCAGGCCCTGCACGCCCAGTACTGCCACACTACTACCAGCAGCAGTGTGGCTGGGCAGCAGCCTCCGCCCCCCTACTACCATCCGCACCAACGCTACCACGTGCAGAGCGCGCCGGCATCTGGACACCAGCACCAGCACCCCACGTTGCAGCGTGTCACCCTGCCGCGCCGGCCTCTCCCCAACCCCTCCGGGCACAACCCCTACCCGCCGCCTCTTTCCCAGCATGCTTTGCCGCAGGGTCGCTACGGGACTTTGGGACACATGGGCTCGCCGTGCGTCCCACCGCCTCCCCCCCTTTCTCCTCACTCCCAACTCTCCCAACACCCACAGTTTGCCCTCTTCCACACGCCACCTCCGCCCTCACACTCGGCCAGAGGGGGCGCCGTCAGCAAGCCTCCGCTGACATTGTCACACTCGCAGCCGCACCCGCACGCACACTCCCACGTGGGGCATACGCCCCACCCCGCCCATTTCATCTTCGCCAGCCCGCCCCCGGCGCCCTCCCAGCCGCCCCCACCCCCGCCGCCAGTCTCCGGGCCGCCGCCCGCCACTGCCCACCACGGGCCGCCGGCCGGCCCGTATCTGCCCCAGTATCCTCCACTGCTCTCCTCCATCCCCCCCCCCCCCCCCACTCCCCTTTACCCCCCCCTTCCTCCCCCCTTACCCCTCTTACGCCTCTCTCCCCTCTCCCCCCCCAGCACCCCGCCCCGCCACCGCCACTGCCGGCTGGGTCACAGGCCCCGGGGCCCCAGGCCTCAGCGGGACAGAGTGGAGGAGCCGCACCTGGGGCGAGCGGTACGGTCGACCGGGCCAAATCCAAGCCTACCAACCGGATCAGCACGGTAGTGTGAGCAGGGCAAGGGCTGGGAAGGCGCGGGGATGGGGCTCGCTACGAGGCCCCCTGGTGGTGGGAGGAGGGACAGCGGAGAGGTTGGAAGAAGTGGGAGGGCGGGCCAGGGCAGAAAGCAAGAAGAAACGAAATCTTCTGAGACTCTGTTACTTTCACCTGCGCTTCCCACAAGTGTAGAGGGAGACAACACGAGATGTCAGCACATTCACGAATACACTTTTTATATTTACAAAGAAAAATTGTAAGACAAGGTCAGTCCCCCTACAGTGGATTACAGAGGAGTACCACCTCAAATCTTAAAAGAGGCACAACTTGCTTTAACTGTAAGTGTGGAGGTTACTGACTCTGTGCCAACCAATAAATTCCTTCCCTCTTTCTGCTCCAAACATTAAAACCTTTAGACATAAGCGATAAAATAAACAGAATACAACCAAGTAACAAACACACACACACACACACTCATTCACCTACAGAGGGTGTGTAAACTGCCATAGAAGAATGTTTTCTCAGTCTCAGCATATCAAAAACACAAAGAGCTTGTCTGAATCTCTTTCTTGATGTGGGAACCTGTAGATCAGGGAGAGCATATCGTCAAGGACTGTCCTTTTACTCTTCCGGACGCTAAGTATACATTCAGTTACCTTCTCCACTCCAGCGTGACAGAACATGTGAAATGTGTTTCAAGCATTAGCTGATAGCAGTTGCAAAAAATGTACGCAATAATCAGTCCATTAATTATTCGATGTTCAGCTTCTTGCTAAAGAGAGCAGTGTTTTGCTGTTTTCCTGTGTAACACTCTCATTAAAGAACCATATTTAAATAGCTGGAGGACTACAAGACCACAGATTGCTATTAACATTTCACCACTTTTAAATACATTTGCCACTTTGATTGAAAGTTTTAGATTTTTATTCACAGAAAATCTCACCTAAAGCAAATAACTATAAAATGCTTGAACTAGAGCAGTTATGATGAATCATTCAAAACATTCTTTCATTCTCAGTACTTTCCACACTCATGCTAGAGGTTTAACTGTTGTAAATGTGTTAGCCAGTAAACTTGAATGTTTTTGTGTGCTTGCTATTAAAAAAGAATGCTGAAGGGCTTGATTTTTGTTTGTTTGACTTGGTTTTGACATTTTAGGCAAAACTGTGCAAGAGTATGAACGTGAAGAGAGCAGCAGGAGAATGAACGTGAAAATTAGAATGAAAAATGACACTAATCGATTTATATACTTCATATATGTGTAACACGTGTGCTTATGCTTTCAAGGTACATATGGTACCCTGGTAATATACGGTACCGTGCAAAAGTCAGACCACCCTCTTGTTTATTCTGTTTCCAGTCAAAAAACCATTACGTGCAATTTATTCATTTTTAGTGTAAAAAAAGCAGGAAACACATATTTAACAGAAAATTAAACGAAGTGTCCAACACAAAATATAATATTTAGTTTGTCCACTCTTTACTTTTGTACCCTACAGCCACTCTTCCATCCTTCCAATCTTTAAACCAGCCAGGTACAGCTGTGACCTCCCAACAAGAGCTGTCCCCCCATATAATGTCACTCGTGACGTTTCCCTTCACAGAGACACTAACATTCACGCAAACAACTACCCAAATACACCTTAGCTGTTAGATTTCTTTCTCATGTGCATCTAGAATGACTAAAGAAGACATTTCTGGCGGAGATTAGATGTAAGATACTCCTCTTGCATAATAAAGAGGAAAGAAAAAGCAGTTTCCAAAACTAGAGAAATTGGTGCACCTGTGCAAGATCTGGCAGACCATCAAAACTATTACCATCAGAAAAACAGTACATAAAGCTTTCATCACTGAGAAATGGTAGAAAATCAAGCTCCACTCTTGCTTTAAATCTGAAAAAAATCCACAGGTTTCTGTCCATCCTTCCACTTTAACAAATCAGCACATTTAAGAACTGTCTAAATTTGTAATATGGATTACGTGGATTGTGAGAAGCAGAAAATCCAACCAACTTCTAAGACTGAACTTTGAAGGTGCGAAAAAATGTCCCTGCAGATTTCTTTGAATAAACTGAAAGCAAATGACCTAAAAAATGGAAGATGTAATAACAGCAAAGGTTGGACACACTAAATAGAGAAAACATTGATATATTTAGTTGTGGAGGCATCTATGTAACTTTCTGTTAAATATATGTTTTCTTCTTTATTCCCTGAAACCGAAAAATTAATAAATTGTACTTCATACCCATTTTGACAGGAAATTAAATAAACGAAGGACGATTTCTAACTTTTGCACAGTATATAACAATCACATAATATAAAACTATGAAGTAACTGTAAGTAGGACTGCAGTTGCCTTTTAAACCAGTAAACCAGTTTTCTCATGCCTACCTCCACTCTCTGCTATAACTTCTTAGTAATAATAATGATAAAACACTGCCCACTAGCAACTTTGCTTGCTGCTTCATTAGCTGAGCAATTTACCAGAGATGATACAGCATTTCTCATAGTACCAAGCTTTTGATAGTCAAGTTGAGCAACTACGAAAGAGCTTAACAGGCTTAACAGACTGCTGAACACTAACCAGAGACCGGTAATGACTAACTCTCTGATTACTTTAATAATAAACATGAGACTTGTGGATTACATCGTCAGCAGATAAGGTCACTTAAAGTTGACATACGTCTGCAAAAAAGCAATTCACTCACTGGCGTTTGAATATCAGTGGGAGTCAGTGGGACTCTTAAATTACTGCCCACAGTACTGTGTCTGTGGGAAAGTGTCCATTGAATTGATCCAGTCTAAGGACTCTTTGACTAATGAGGGCTAGTCACAATCATCTGAAGGATATGTTCCTGGAGAGACCGTGGCCTCTCCCACCGTTCCACTTCCTTTTTGGTCTTTTTGTGTATTTGAAATGCCTGTTTGTGTTGGTGCAAATCAGATGCATCCCACAGGGTTGCATTGATGCTATCTTTCATATTTTGCTATTTTCTTTTCATTTTTTTTATTCTGACATAAATGTTTACTATGAATATGACTGGTTATGTTGATTATGTTATGTTATTTAATTATACAGGTGGTATAATTACAACAGAGTTATATGGATACATATTGTATATAAATCCTCTCACAGTTGAGCAGAACATGGTGGAAAGTCTCTGAAATGTGACCTTACATGAATTTGAACGTTGTTGGTTTTTAAGGACAATCACACTTGTCTTTACAAGTGTTACTGAATGTTGCAGACTTTGTAATGGTATTTATTTGACCCTTTTCTGATGAGTTGTGGTTCTGTTATGAGATTTTAGTTCTTTTTTTTCTTAATGTGTGCTTCACAGATTTACTGTTTGGGTGGAAGCAAAGCCAGCACAAATCCTGTTATAATGAAAGCCTTTTCCTTTTCCTTTAAAGAGAAATACAAGGAATGTGGTATATAGGTTTGTACTGAGAAGTGAGTTATTGATGCTTAACCGAGCCCCAGTTTAACTAATTAATGTCAAGTATTTGACTGCGTCAGCTCCTTTGCCACTGTTAGCAAAAAGAAATGAGGTGAATTAACAAGGTGTATCGTTCTCCTCCGACTGCTGCGTACCCACCCCCCACCCCACCCTGTGGATGTTATTGCATGATTGCAGTACTTAGCGAATGAAGAGTGTTCTATAAATACAACTGTACATGCTCATACGGTTTAATATTGACCATGAAGCAAAGAGAACTATTATTCAGGATTGTGTGTGTATGTGTGAATGTAATGCGTGCGTGAGAGTGTAACATTCATTGTAGGTGAATATTGCATATTTATTTTGTAAGCCTATACGAACGTATATGTCACAGCGGAGCTGAATGTTATTTTAGAAATCTATGAAATATAAAGTCATCTAATTTGTGTACAGACGTGCAAATGAATACAGAGAGATGTGAATATTTATTGCTTCTAAACTATTATAAAGTGTCCTTGCAGTGGATAAAACCCAGTGTCATTTGTTTCTTATCGCGTGCTGTTATTCTGCATACATGTAGAAATGCACATCTGCAAAAGGAGATGCAGTAAATAGGAGTCAGACGGAGGGATGTAACGATACACGTCGAGATTTGCTACCATTTTCAATCAATTTGCATGTTTTCATAAATCATATTTTATTTGTGAAATATCTTCCTATACATACCAATTTTACACACAATGTAGTCAGAGACAACCCTTATTAATGTATTTTCTAGATACAATGGCTATTAAGTACAAGTTATCCATTGTTTGGGAGATATTCCTGAGGAGATTAGATGTAAAATAATCCAGTTGTATGAGGAAGGGGACAGTCAAAGGAAAATAAGTTTAAAAACAGAACTTCTAACAACTGTGAAAGATCTGGTAACCCAGATAAATAACCCAGATAAGCAGCACTTAAAGCTTTCGCCCTGAGAGATAGGAAATAAATCAAGCTCCACTCTTGCTTCAGCTCTACAAAAATTCACAGGTGTTTGCAAATAAAAAAAGAAGCTGCTGGTGTTCTCAGAAAAATAAACTGACCAGAGTCCAGACCTCAACATCACTGAATGTGTTTGGGAGCAGAAAATGCAACCAACTTCTAAGACTGAACTTTGGAGGTGTGGAAAAACATCTATGCAGATTTCTTTGAACAACTGAAAGCAAGGCTCCTGAAAACAATGGAAGCTGTAATAAAGGCAAAAAGCAGACACACTAAATACTGAAAAATCTGATATTATTTTTAGATGTTAAGGCCTCTACTTTTTTCCTGATACTGAAAAAGGAATAACCTGTATGTAACGGCCATTTTGACTCTAAATTAATAAATGAAGTCTGGTCTCTGAATTAAATAGGACTTTTTCAATGCCTACCATGCCTGCCTTTAACAAAATAGGCACCTAAGTCAAAAAAGGCCTGGTGTATTGTGTGTGCAGAGCATAACACCTCAAGTACTCAGCTCCCCAGAGCTGCAGCGGAACTTCTTAGTACATTCAGCATCTAATAGGGTACTGGAAAAGCAACTGTAGCTTGTTGTTAGATACTATTGTTCTTTTTGGGATCCCTTGGAGCTAAAATAATTCTAAAGCTCCAACGTTGTGAGCAAGACTAAAGCAGTTCAGCGGTTTAACCAAGAAAGAAGGCATAATGAATTTAAACCCAAAAAGGAATTAGGAACTAGCTCAAAGCACAACTGATAATCAAAATTCTCATTATTATTATTAGTGTTAAAACTTTACTAGTCTCTGGTCACAAAGAACTCTTATGATTGGTATCATTACCATATTATGACTATATTCCTTAAAAGTGTTTTTTTCTCTATTAGGGAAAATGAATGCTAGCTTCGGAAATCACTGCTATCATGCCCTGTGGTAAACAAACATGTTCCAAACCTCATACATCCTGCAAACATTTTTGCCCAAAGTGTCACTAGATCCTCTGAATTAAGAGGTCATTTAGTAGTGAAAATAAAAATAATGCTGCACACACGCTACAAGCAAGCCAGCACTCCTGCGCACTGAAACGACACTATAAAAATAAGTTGAAGCAGAATTTCAACGATTTTTCAAAGTCTTTGGATAGTTAAAGGGTTGGGATGTAAACAAAGTCTTTCAGAGTGGTTTGATGTGAGAGCCAGAATTCTTTGCAGTAGTGGTGATAGGAACCAGACGTCTGAAGCATTTAATGCCTCTAAAGGCTTCCTCACAGAAAGTTATTTTTGCGCTGGTACAAGTGGATCAGACACACCGGTGCTGCTGCAGTTTTTAAGGGGTATCAAGAGGTAAGTAGTAATATTAAGCTGAGTCTGTATTGAATTAGAACAAAAATAAAACCTTTAAAACACCTAATCAGTTAATGCTATGCGCATATATGTGCATATATTGCACACTGGCTATGCCAGTCGTATAACTTTGTGGCTTGTCAGCTTTCTTCAAGGATGAGCAGAAGAATATTAAAAGAGGTGAAAATCTCTCTTAGTCTGGTTATGTTGAGCAGTGTAGCCTGAGTGCAGGTTTAGTGCTACCACGCAGGCAAAGTGTGCTGGTTTGCGCATTTTTAAGGAGGCTGCCACTTTAACGTGCTGTAGCATTAGCTTACATGCAGCGATATTCATATTTTGACTCAATAACGACCTCGTAGTTCAGAGAACACAGTGATATTTGAGAGAAAAATATTCAAGGTAATTTTCAAAAACTCCATTCATTCTTTTCATAGAGAAATTCCTTTTTTGACCCAAAAATTCCTTACATAGGCCTTAAGAGCATGGTGCCGACTACAAAATGACATCACAACTACGGTGATCTATGTCAGAGAACCTGTATAGAGTAAAATTACCACTCTGTACTGTCTTTTGGATTTCTCAAACGCTAGAGGGCGCTCCCGAGTGAGACCAAAACGAATGAGTAAAGATGAAGCATTTAAGCAAAACATAGTTTGTGAATGCTTAAACATTTTTAATATAAAAGAATGTGTTCATATCCTGAACACAGAACAGCATAAAATACTTAAACACTGCTGTTATATTTTTAAATGCTTTTAAACTCGAGTTATTTGAGTTTAAAACGGCGCCCGTGTACGTTCATGATGTCAATGAGCGCGAACAGCCAATGAGATGCTCTGCTCGCCAACCACTCAGCCCTCAGGAGCAGTAATGTTAGCGTCCTGCTGCCAAAAACCCGTTTGCTGTAGAAAAAGGAAACATACAGGTGAGTTTTCTTTGCTTTTTTAGTGAAATACATACTTCTGCTTCTAAAATTAAAGGAAAGTTCTCGGCAACTGATTAGAAACTATTTTAACTTTTCGTTTTAAGCCGTTTTCACCCCCATTCATTCACTCGCGGGCGCCCTCTTGCGTTTTGCAGTCCTGTTTTTGATATAACTGGGGAAATAGGAAAAGGCCAGGCTCTTCACAAACCTGCTTTGTCTATACCCACATCAGAAACTCTGCGTCTAAGCAAGTTTTCCCTAACAGAAAAAATTGTGGCGTTTCTGAAAACTGCAGCTGTCGCGGCCTGTGGTAAACAAAAATGTTCCAAAGCAGATGAACTGCACGGCAGAAAATACAAGAAAATGTAAGACATGGGCCCTTTAACTGTACTGAGTAGTGTATAAACCTTCCTCCGCTGGTGGCCGCTGCCCACTTTTTTCCGTCCACTGGCCATCTGCGCAAACGGTTCTCGCCGGAACTACTTCTTTCAAAGAGAGACGTGCAATTATTGCTTGTGTTAATCCGCGTCGCGTCCCTACATCTCTCCATCTACCTGCAACGCTTGAAAAACACAAACGTAGATTTTGTGGCACGGTGCCAAGAGTGCGACCTATTTTAATTTGCATGTCTTCACAGGAGCTTGTTTTGCTCCAAGCAGCAACACCGCTCAATACATCCGTTGTTAAAAAGAGAGAAGTTGAAGGACTATTTTATATGTAACTCCCAGGCGGAAGGATGGAACAACGGCGTGTCCATGCAGTCGTATGCGTTTCCTGAAGCTTTGATCGATGGATCTTGAGGGGTTGTGCTTAGGCTGTGATGAAAAACCCAAAATGGCGTGTAGCTTAGACAGGATGAACGGGGGGTAGTTCTCAAAGAACAAACCTAGCCATAACGACGTCTAGGAGCTTGTGTATGTACCAGGTCAAATAGCAGAAGTGCCCAAATTGGTGTGACGGGTAGTAAAAAGGTCAGCTCACCGAATACCGTGTATGAGCACCGCCACCGAGAGCCGGAGCGCTGGGATGGGCTGAGAGCGCGGAGGCCGCAGATGTGCAGCCGCCCTGAGAGCGACCCACAGCCGAACAATAGAGTCTGTGATCAGCCGAGACAGTGACACGGCCCGGATATTACTTTTTCCCTCACAAAAACTGGGTCAGCTTTCGCTTTGAAGCAACACCAGAGCGGATTTGAAGACGCACACAGACGAAGTGGCGGAATGTAAGATCATGTGGCAGCAGAATGTAACCTTAAGTTTGCTTAGCTCATTAACCCCTAATATAATTTAGCTTCATTGGCTTTGCCGCAGCAGACTCTGGCCTGCAGGTCATCAGGCTTGACTATGAAAATGTTTAGTTTCTGTATAATGTCGGCTAAGGTTGTGCTGTTTTATGAACGTGTAGTTAACTTAGAGAAATCTTAGATAGCCGACTTCCAGGCTTCCACCAGTATTGTTTACTTGAATCGAGTGTTCATGGTGATTGTTAGCCTCCTAGCCAGCTACAGATTTACCTTACAGCTCACGACCCAACTTTTAAAAACAGATAACTAACGGTAACGTTAGCTATCTGTGTCGATTATAATAGGGTGTTTGTGAGTTTTGTCGTGTTCCTTATATGGTCGGCTGTCTAGCTGTTGTGCTTTAGTGATTTCTGCGTCGACAGAATGGAAGCTACGTGTAATGTTTGTGTTAATGTTTTGGTATTATGTATAGCTAGTATGGCTAATGCTTACTTTGCATCACGTCTAGATTAGCTTAGCCTAGCTAACTCGGGCCTTCGCTCTAATTTAGCAGCTCTCATCTCATGTTTGGTCACTCGTTTTGTTGGATAACTGAACTAGTTACCCATGTCAGTGAGCGGTTCGGCAGCATGTGCCTCATTCTACGCTCAGTATACTAGAAATGTAGATTGTTTGGTTAACAAACTTGACATTGAAGTCGAGAGAGGCGAAGCTGAAGTCAGCTTCTTATTCTCCAGCTTCTTGTTCGAATTTTCCCGTTCCACCTTAAATGGTGCAGCAGATACATTCTAGCACCTCAGGCGCTAGTATGTAACCGCTGCACTATTTAAGGTGGGACGGTAAAATTCGGTTAAGACGCCGACTTCAGGCTCGTGAGAGAGAGCAATTGCTAGTTTAGTCACGCGGTGTTTGAGTTTATAACCTGCTTGTAACAAGTTTGAGTGTTTAGCCTGTACATAACCCAAATAGCTGGCTAGCTGCATGCTATCCTCTAATCTGCCTCTGTTAAATTAGCTACGCTGGCTAGCTAGCTAACGTTGCTAAATTGTTTTGATAAACACATTTAATTTCGTAACTGTCAGGATGTAGCTGTTCGGACAGACATGCGTATACATTGCTTATTTTGTATTACTGAATTATTTATTGAGTTGTTCTTCACTCAATGTAGTTACTCATTGCGTTGAGTTGGTGTTTTAGCTCGTTGATTTAAGCAGCTAGTGCGTACGTGACTGGTTCTTTCGAGATGAATTATGTCAGCAAAATGATTAAATACGTGCGATGTCCTGTTGGTTTGTTTGATATGCGACGAAATCATGGCTTGATAGTTGATTTTTGACCTTGGTATAGCTAAACAAGTGGTTATCATTACAGCTGGACAGGCCAGAGTTATCGCTGTTTAACGGAACCCCAAGGTTTTTAAAAGAGCAAGTTAAACAAGGCTAGCTGGTAAAATTTCCCCTTTTTGTTACTGCTGCGTAGCTTCATGGATATCATGTACCTAACTGTGTTATGTCAGAGATACATGGCCTTTTGTTACAGTGTTGATAATCGTGGCCCCGACAGTGGGTGTTAATGGAGTTTATGCCTGCATTATTGTTAAAGGGGAACTCTACCTATTTTTCATACGTTTTTGATAATTATTTGGTTAAGATAGAAATAAAGTCGTTAGGAGTGGTTTGGTGTGAGATTGGTGTCAGATTGTTCACAACAGATGATAGGAACCAGACCGATTTTTCAAAGATTTCTGCGTAATTAAATGGTCAAGATGTAAACAAAACGATTCTGTGGTTTGGTGTGAATTGCTGCGGTCTAGAGAAACTTACTGAATCAGAACTGTTCACAGTGGTGTTGATAGGAACCAGATGTCCACCTCTAAAAACTCCCTCACCAAGAGTTATTACATGAAATGGTTAGATATACTCTGGCCGATGCGACAGGTTGATTAACAATAGTTCTGTGAAAATTTTGGCTTAAATGTATTTTATTCCATTTATTTGAATCCATTCACGGTGAAGGGGTACACACTGGGCATTGTAGGTAAAATAATCCTCAAAGAAAACTTACTTTGCCAGATTTATGGCTATTTTATTATTATCATTATTACCTACAAAAAGTAGTAAACAAAACTAGTGTATAAAATGGCTTTGTTGTAGACAAGGCAACCCCAGCTTGAATAGGATGCAAATATTAAGATATAACTCACTGACTGCCATTGACTTTGTAGCGTTTCTGTGGTATGCGCTCATATTTTGATGACAAACTCTCAATGTGTTTTGTGGGATAAAAAAAATCTAGGGGAAACCCTGCTCTCTGAATTACTTTGTTCAGATGTTAACAATTTAATCAAGGTGAATTTTTTAAACTTAATTGAAATTTCCCTTTAATACATGCTTACCCTGCAGCTACACTGTTTTTCAGTTCCCCTAGTAGTTAAAAATGGGCAAATATTAATTTGTCAGTGGGAGACTGAACTCTTCTGTATGCTATAGCCTACTGCCTCCATTTCTGCTGACCTAATTTGCTGATTGTATCACAAAAGGCTGAAAATAGGCTTCCTCTTGTGTTTTTGGTTTGGAGGTAGAGGCAACCACAAGAATAAACCCTGATTGTGTTGTGAAAGTAAATTATAATTATTACATAAATTATATACACTAAACTGAACTAGAAAGAAACAAAACTGAGATATTTGCAGTGTTGTCTTTGTGGAAAGTCAGTGTTGTGTAGTATATCAAGAATTCATTGTTGTTTTTCACATTGACATGGTTCAGCCTTGGAAATCCACAGTAAAGGGACAAATTAAGAATTAAGTCAAAAACTTAAATATGCTACTTTGAAATAGTAAACATCACTGCTGGAAAATCTAGGAACCAGTCTTTGTTTTGTGTGTGGCTAAAACATTTCCTCAGGAAGTGATGGCAGTATGTTCATAAATACCATTGAAGCTGTGTAGGGATTGTTTAGAGAAGGCACCCCCCCCACACACACACCCCTCAAGAATTGTTAGTTACGTAGTGACATTAATATTTTTAAACGTTACACTGAACAAGATACAGTCAGTGCTTATTACAACAAAATAATGGTATAATTGTACAAGTACTGGATGGAGAGAAGCAGAATGCCTCTCAGTTGTTACAAATAAAGTTTTGCAAGTGTTTGATGTCTTCAGTTATTGATGAGTCTAACCAAGATTTGATAAATTTAACCTCCTCATTAAAGATATAAGCACACATAAGTGTTTACATACTCTTCATCAGAATTTGGGACTTGGTTTCAGATTTGATTTTCTTATTACATTTTCCTTCAGCTTTCTCTGATATTGTTTATAGGGCAATGGAGGGAGGGGACGAGTTTGTTCCGCCTCCAGAGTGTCCAGTGTTTGAGCCTTCATGGGAGGAGTTTGCAGATCCGCTTGGTTACATCGCCAAGATCCGTCCAATCGCAGAGAAGTCTGGAATATGCAAAATTCGCCCTCCCCCAGTAAGCTTCTCATTTTCGTTATCTTGGTTCTGCTGACCCAAGTTGTTTTACCAGTAATGCATTTTGTGTGGTGTGTTTGTGTGTGTTTGATCTGTTTTAAAAACACGTTTGACCAAACCTTAACAAGGGTTCACATAAAACCACTTAAATTTGTGCATAGTGTTTCTGGATTCCAACATTATACTGTGGTGTTTCTCACATTCTGTCAGCGAGGACATACTGACCAATAGACATAAATATGTGCTTTAGAAAAACAAGCCATAGATTAATGTGTACATTTTTCTCTCTCCTTTCACAGGACTGGCAGCCACCCTTTGCTGTGGAGGTGGACAATTTTCATTTTACGCCTCGTATACAGAGACTTAATGAACTGGAGGTTTGTGTTGTAGCAACTTCAGTTTTTATCCACCCCACTAATCACATTAGGCATCAACTGCATAAATAGTCCTGTCCAGTGTTCACCCTGTATTACATCACCTCAGCTCAGACATGTTGTGTTGAGTGCAGAGTGTTCTTATTGTTTTTTCCCAACGTCTTTGAATTTCTCTGTATGTGATATATCAGTATGTTAATATAGGAGTGTATATGCTATATAAACTCTTGCTTTTGCGTCGTCAGGCTGAGACCAGAGTAAAGCTGAATTATCTGGACCGAATTGCAAAGTTTTGGGAAATTCAGGGATCCTCCCTCAAAATCCCTCACATAGAGCGACGCATTCTGGATCTCTTCAGCTTGGCTAAGGTATTATAATACGTATAAAACTATCTCTCCTTTGTGTTTATTTATTTGGAATTTATTCTTCTGACTGTGATATGTAGATAAGCATGTATCATTAGTGTTGCGTTCATACAACTCTGAGGCAAGTTCCCTAAAAGTAGTGTAGCAGAAAATGCTTCTGCACAAGCTCTTAAAGGTTATCTTGTGTTTTAGGGCTGCATAGTGTATTGTTTTTAAATTGTCATTGTGATTTTTCCTTTGGCAGTACTGATATTGCACAAGGCTGCCTTATTCAAGTGAGCTCTCTACCTAGTCACAGTTTTTGTTTTTTTGGTTTTTTTTTGTGAGCATCTCGACCAATAACAGTACCACATGATTGTTTTTTGGGTGTTTTGATGAATCATTATTCATGTCGGCCAACAAACGTAAATTGTCTTGGGCACAATAATGCATATCAGTCTTTAACCGTGTTACGTTTTGATTAGTCAGTGATATTCTAAGGCATATAACAATCTCAGTATGCAGCAGTGTAAACACAAAACAAGCATTTTCTCCATGTTGTGCAGGTTTGAAAAACCTTGATCTCTTTCCACTGCCATGTTGTTCGTTTGGCTTGCTGCTGACCTGTATTTTTGTGACCATGTTGCAGATTGTCACAGAGGAGGGAGGCTTTGAGACGGTCTGTAAGGAAAGGCGATGGGCTCGTGTGGCCCAGAAGCTTGGTTACCCACCTGGGAAAAACATCGGCTCCCTCCTGAGGTCACACTACGAGAGGATCGTCTATCCTTTCGAGATGTTCCAGTCTGGTGCCAGCCTACCGGTAGTCTGTTTTTGATATTATACTTTTGTTAGTGTTGTCACGTCTGTATATAATCTTATTCAGTAATTCTAGAGACGCATTGATCTGTTTATTGCAGAAATGGTGAAGTATGTTTAAAGACTGAACTGGTTTCACTTCTTCCTAAGAGGCTTTTGTTTGTATTTTTTGTCTTTGTTTCTTTATGTAAACCTGTGGGCAGCCATGTAAGCCCAGGCCATATGAAAGTGACGATGTGGATAAGGAGTATAAACCTCACTCCATCCCCCTCCGCCAGTCAGTCCAGCCTTCAAAGATGAGCAGTTATGGACGGCGAGCCAATCGCCTGCAGCCTGAGGTGAGTGGCTTCAATGACTGGCTGGTCAAATTGTGAAAAAAAACTTGCAGATAGTCACACAGGGAGCCAAAGTTTCCCCTCCTACTGATTTCAGAACATATTAAGAGTCTGTTTACTGTGTGTTAGAGAGTGTTTTAGTACAGACACCATAACTTTCAAATGCTTCATTCTGAATGCCATAGTCATGACCACCCCAAATTCATTTTAGTAATACAGAAGTTTTTGCCAGGGCACAAAACCTCAGCATGTTGATAAACAGTAAGGAATGATTTTATTAAGTTGCAAGGACAATGGGCCTATACACCAATATCTATAGTATAGTTTTTGCTTAAATTTGTTGTTCAGAAAGGTCCTAAGAAAAAGTCTACATCAGATTTATGATGTGTTCTTAGAGCACAGAATTGTTTGCACCTTTGTGCTTTTGAGTGTGTGAAGATTCTGTTCTTACATAAGAGCGAATCCCAAATAAGAACATTGGTCAGTGTCAGAATCTTTGTGAAAACTGCGTAAGTGGGTTTTAAGAAGAAATTTCATGAGAACATTTGGTGAATGAGACCCATTTTGAGGTGGTCATTGTGAAGTTCTATGCGACAAAGATTTCATCACTGTCATGACTATGGCAGCATGAATAGCCAAAAAATAACATTTAGACTCTGTGTAGTGAACTAATTGACAGTTGTACTTGGGGGGGAAGATGAATTGCTTTAATATCGAAGTTGCAATTTTGAAATTGCAAAAGCTACTAAATTTAACGTAATAACATGGAGATTTTGAAACACCTTAAGATGAGTCAGACCATTGCGAAGCAACCAAACAAGCATGTGCTGTGTGTGTAACAAAACCACAACTAACTGCCAGTCTGGCCCATTACGTTCAGTGTTCAAGCCTCAAGTCAGAAAAGGTGAATATGCTGGTGTTCTTGGCCAAAAAATAGGCCTGGATCTTAATTATCCCAATTAAAATTGCAATCACAATATTGGACAGAAAAATAACAATTCGATAATTTCTCCAAATCATTCAGCTTTTGTTGTACCTTAATGAAACCAGCGGAACTGCAATTTTCCTGTGCATCATTCGGGCGTATTAAAATTATTTTGCTGATTATTGATTATATTTTTCTGAAGTAAATGCTGTGAGTAAAATTTGTCCTGCAAAAACTGCATAAATCCTGAAATCTCCACTTGCCAGTACTAATATTGTATACCAGGGGTGTCCAATCTTATCCCCAAAGGGCCAGTGTGGCTGCAGGTTTTCCCTCCAGCAAAGCAGGAGGTCACCTGATGAAATGTTTGAAGACAAAGACCAACTGATTAAACAAGTAGAATCATCTGTATTTCTGCTTGTTTGGAGTGAAAAACTGCAGCCACACCGGCCCTTTGCGGGTAAATTTGGACACCCCTGTTGGATATGAAAGATCCCTGTAATTAACAAAAAGTATTGTCAAAAATTTGTGTCATTATTGCTGCTTTTGCATTAATATCTTAATATTTGGTTATGATCTTAATAGATGACATAATATTAAGTTTAGAAACAGGTTAGTTTCTACCCTCATCTCACTTGCATCAGTCTCTCACCTCACTGGCCAGAAAGGACCTGGCCTTTGAATTGACCCCTGGTATATTAGTCTTTATAAATTAATAGATGGGATTAAATGCATGTTTAACAAAAGTATTTAAATGTCCAGTTGGAAATGGATCCATCTCAGTGCGTGCAGTGTTCACATTTCCAGGTTTTGTGTATGCTTTTGGCTCAGAATACAGGCCCCAGCTTGCTTTGCACCTTGACGCCATGCTTTCTGAATGCATCTATGTCTTGCTTCCATTGCTCTCTTGGTCCCATTACTGCTGAATTTTATGTCTTGCTTCTCTTTTTTTCCTCTCTCTTCTCTTTCTCTCTCTCTCACACAAACATAAACATACTTAAGGTGTAATCTTTTTATTGTTTTGCTCTATCTCCCTCTTCCTCGCTATGAAGCATTTTCATATTGTATTGTGTTCATAAACTCATTGGTCTTATCCTAAGCGGTGTCATACCATCTTAATGTTAGCCCTTGTAGTCCCTTTTATCATCAGTGTCAGCGCTACATTACATATTGTATGTTTATTTTGCAGGCATATGGCCTTTTTCTTTGCCTCCCCATGACCTTGGTCAATGGATTCATAATACACTGTGTATTAATAAATAGACACTGACTAAACCCCCATTCAGAGTTAAGTAATTGAGACATTAAGCAGTGCTTTCATCCGTGAACTAAACCTGAAGCTAACTTCAGTCTGGCACTGATAGAAAACTCGTTTGTTTGGAGGTTTGGCTGCAGACTATTTTAAATTCAGAACAGAATACACTAAATAAAGACAGTATGCTTGCAGTCAGATTTGAAGCACCTGTGGTAATTTCACATCACTTTCAAGGCTGATTTATATTACTGTGAAGATGCACATAAACATATCTACATTGAGAAACAGAGAAAAGGTTTATGAGTTAATGTGCACATGTCCAAAATCTCAGCTGTTGGAGTCTGTGTAGCCATGGGTCAAGTGAATGCTGATTAGTTGTTCAGTAGCCTTAGGGGTTAGGAAGAGACCCAAACAATAACCAGTGCTAGTGCAAAATCAAATGGAGCAGTTCAGCAAGCAGAAAAGGTGTGGTGTCACAAACATTTCTATAACCCATCTTCACAGTAAATCAAAACCAGAGAATAGGCTTCATTTACACGGCAAGTAAATGTGGCCCAAATCTGGTTTTCTCACCAAATCCGATTTTTTTGTTTGGCTGTTCATAATATATTTTAAATGTGACCTGTATGCGACATCAGTCTGAACAGATCACGCTACCAAACCGACCCGCATGCTCAGAAGAACAATGCTTCATGTTGCTTCACGTGGCTCATCCAGAGGTAAACAATCATGATGAATGACTGCCAGTCGCTCCCGGAGCTTTCAGTTTCACCTTCGGAAGCATCACAGGAGCAATCATGAAGCTTCAATGGTTGACAGCTGGGCTCATCATCCACAATATGTTCAAGTTCGCTGTAAAAAGAAGAAACGACCACTTTTTTGGTTTGTACCCTTGGGTTCTATAAACTTTGTTTTCAGACTTTTGACTGTTGTTTGATGCTGCAGCCTCGTTCTCCTACGGCTGCATTCAGTCATTTCTTTCGAAATCTCTTCGAACATGGAGTGGGTGTGATAAGTGCCTTTTAATTTTTTGGTACAGAAACATCAGCCTAAATGTTTGAGCTCTCAGCAGCACGAAATTATGACGGATGTTGAGTTGGACTGACGTAAAAGTCACATGAATTCCAATCTGGCTGTTCAGACTGAGTCGCGTTGCTGCATATGGGATACGGATCGGATTTCAGTAACACATAATTGAAGCATCTCAAATCGGAATTGAAAATGTCAGATTCAGTGGATTTTTGCTGTTCACACTGACACACAGATGACAGATCTGTGTCACGTATAAAGAAAAAGATCAGATTTGGGCCACTTTTACCTGCTGTGTAAAAATAGCCGTAATTCTTAGAGAGAGCAAGAGTGTCAGCGTTCAGTTTCCACTTTACACTTCATGTTGTCCTGCGCAGAAGGCACCTGAGAAAAGTCGCTGTTTATCTGAGTAGTGTTTCTGAAAAAACTCAAATACAAATGAATATACAATAATGAGTGGTTTTATGCCTATTTCCAGACATTTTGAGGTTAGTCAGGGATATTGTGGAATCATCTGGAACCAGACTTTTATTTTAATGACTAGCTCTTAAGGTGTCAGTTAATTTAGACTTTTTACTTTTTTCTACATTAATATTTTTGTTTGTTTGGATTTATTTAATGATGTACGGCAGGGGTATTCAAAGAACTTGTTAAGGTCCACTTGCATCAAATTTCTTGCTAGCAGAGGTCCAGATAAACAAATGCATGAACAGATAACAAATTGGTTTTAAACTTGAAACACGAAGAAAAATACACAGTTCTCTGTTCACTCATTTTTAAACTCTGTTTTTGTTGTCATTTCCTATTTAAAAAAGAAAGAAAGAAATGTTACGTTGTCCCTTCGCTGCTCACACCAGAAATAGTAAATAAAAATCTAGGAAAATATGTGAAATTATTCTCTTTCTGACCCAATACCCAGCTTGGTAGTCTCTGTTCCAGGGAACTGCTTTTAGCTATGTGGTTTACGTAAATGCATCGGATTGGGTAAACTAAACCGCTACAGACGCCACACTGGTTTATATACATATATATATACAGAAATAGTCATTTTTATGTGTGTCAGTCGACTTCGCTCCGCTGAAATACTTCTTCTCTGGGTTCACAGCCGAAACAGACAAATTGTCTGCTTAAGTGCCTTTTAAAACACTTGTATGCATTACAGTAAATTATGAATGCATAGAATACATTTTAAATAAGCATTTTGTGTATATAGACGAAGCGCCTATAAACACATGCATACACCCTTTTCGATTCTATCACTATCCCTCTCTTGTCTTATTCTTTACTGTCAGTTCATTGATGACCCCCCCCACCCCTGGTCGCTCCCTCTTTGTCTCTGGAGTCCATTTTGTTATGGTTGTTGTCTCCCCATGCAGGGTCCAGAGGATCCAACCCACCACCCTCTTACCACTGGCTCTCAACACATCTCCTCGGTACTGCCTCTCGCTCGCTCTCTCTGTCTCTATTGCTTTCTCTCTCTGCCTTTTTTTCGTCTTTTTCTTATTACTTATTCACATTAACACCTCTCCTGCTCACATGTTCACTTTTCTTGTCTCACTTCCACTGATGTTATACTTGTGCAGTCTCACACTCTGTCCTGTCTGTGCTCAGCCTACATGTGTTGCTGATGCCCGCTGTGAATTAGCTAGATTAACTATAATCTTCCCCTTTTTGCCTCTTTGTGCCTCCATTTTCCCTCACTGTTCTCCTCAGTCTGCATTCTAACCATTTTTAAGTGCTAATACGCTATATTTCACTCGTCTTGCCATGTGCATAACATGCTTGGGTTTCCTCTTGGATAGCAACATTTCTTAACGAGTCTCCTGATTTGGGCTATTTGCTGCTTGTAACCTCACCTTTGGTGTGCTATATTGGTATCTCTGCTGCTGTCTCCTAACGCTCTTACTCCTCAGCTTGGCTGCTGCTTTTCCTGCGCTCGCTCTCTGTGAATGTGTAATTACAATGAAAGGTGCAGCCAGCTTGTTATGTGAAGCTTTTGTGCTTATTACAGTAGTATAGTAAAAGTAAAATATCTCTTCCAGAGTTGTATTGCTTGATTTTACACCTGATTCAGTATTTAATATTGTGTAAGCTTAAGGGTGGGCCAAATGATGATGTTTTAGGGTTATTGTGACAAATTGTATGGTTTTTTTAACTGTTTTTCTAACATGGTCGATTGGATGTCAGTCCTCTTTTAAAATGTATTTTTTTACTAATTTTTAAATTGTTCCTCCTGACCTCCTTTAATAGTTTATTGTCTGGATGTTAAAAAAATGTCTTCAAGTATTATGATATTACGTTTGCCATATTGTCCACCCTTAGTGTAAGCAACTATTGACCCGTATGTTGCTTATCCCTACAAGAAGTTTTTTAAACAGGAATATTAATGGTATGGCTGTGTTTGTGTTATTTTTAAGCACAGTGAATAAGAACCAGGGCTCCCTGTGCTTACTGAAACTCATCAGCATTGCCCTTAGTTCCAAGTTAAATGTCCAGCTCAGTGTTAGCTGTAGTTAGCAATAGAAATCATGCTGACCTAGTGCCTGTGCACACCAGAATGTGTAAAAACTTGTTGAGCCTAACCCTGTGGTATTCGTTTGACCCTTGGCCTGTGGCTTTCAGCCGGAGCCCACTGAGGAGGACATAGAGAAGAATCCTGAACTGAAAAAGCTGCAGATCTATGGAGCTGGACCCAAGATGATGGGCCTTGGCCTGGTGCCACGAGACAAGGCTAGGAAAAAAGGTATCTCACTCTGTGATTTGGTTATATTGCTTTATCAGTGTTTTGCATATAGTTAAATATTATATTGTAAATGTTATGTTTTGTGTGTCGCATTCAAGCTAGGGAATAATAAACACTGTCTGCCTAGTCGACAATGTACCATAATATGCCCTTATCCTCCTCCACCCCGTCTCTTTTTTTACGTCAGACGAACTCCCCCAGACAGTGATAGTTAAGGACGGCAGTGCTCCTGGCACCATTAAAGAAGAAGCAGGAGAGATCCAAGTCACAAGGTCAGACTCGGACATACCCCCGCCGCCTCCAAACCTCATTGTTAAGGATGAGGTGAAGAAAAAGGAGGAGGGCGGTGCAGATGACCTTGATGGCTCTGGTAAAGATGAGCCCTGCACAAAGATGACCATGAGGCTCCGACGCAACATCACCAACCCACAGTTTGTAAGTGTGTGTATGTTGTGGGTGAGAGGTACCAATCTGGCAGAGGTTTGACAGTTTTGCTGTTGAAGTAAATGGAAAGTTGTTGCAGCCTCAGCAAAAGAGGGGACACGGTTGGTAATAAATTCAGCAAACAGACAACTTGCATGATCACATTCACAATTATAACCATTTACAATTGAATGACAGAAGTGACAAATCAGTTTTCGTTAGCAGATAAATACCAGTATTTGACAGGTGAAAAACTCTACAACACTGGTAAATTAAGATCCTGTTTAACGTAATGTCCAGTAAATAAAATTATACCTAAAGAATACATAAAATTCTGAGCAGACCCATTATGTTCTGCATTAGGGGAAGGGACGCCCATGGACTGTCGCTATTTAACAGAGGCCTGAGTTGTCGTCAGGATCAAGGAGGCTGCTCTATTAGCCTGGATGCTGAGATGTATAACAGGAAGAAAGATCTAATGTGTTTTATTTTAACTTCAGCTCCTCTGAGTTTACCACCAACACTACATTTCCACAGTTTCTGTCAAATATGTGCGTCTCTTGTGTTTAATATGGGACTGTATGCTGAGGGAAATGTAGCCCACATTTGGTGGATGTTTTGGCAAAAATGTTGACAATATGCATCACAGTGTTTTGACACACAATGCACTAATAGTGCACCTTCTAATAATGGCTATCAAAAACTCTGGCTACAATGCTTTTTATTCAACATTTCGCATACACTAAATCTGTTTAAACAGAAGTGGTTATGCTTTCTTTACAATGAAATGTGTAGTCGATCAAGTACAGAGTATATCTATAATATGCTCAGGTGAACGTCGTTTACCACGATAACAATTTGTCACAGTAATGATAAAATATAGATTTTCCCACCTCTAAGCTCACAGCTAAGTTAGGCAAGTTAGGTAAAAGTCAAGACAAGTTAGCTAGTGAGCCCTTATTCTGACTGTTACGCTCAGATGTTGTCAACATGTGCTTTATCTGATTTACAAATAGCAGCGTATGTTTATACAGATCAGACGGCCAATAAAGACGTCCAGATGAAACGCAGATGTGCACTGATAAATGCTCTTAGGTTTGTCGTTCAAGCTGTGGAGCTCCAGTGTGTCAGCAACAGCCGTTAAGACAGATGAAACAATTTTATTAGCTGTATACCAACAGTGTTTTCGTTATCACAGAGATTTTGTTTTTAGGCTGTTGGTGAAAGAATTAGAATTTTACCCTTTTGTCTGGCAAACTGAATCATTACCGAATGACTGGCACCAACATTTCCTAGCAGAAACTCTGACGCAAATGTATTTATGTAGGCTTAATTGAGATTTGCTTCAAAATAATGCTTTTGTAGTAATGACGTCAAGTAAGCATTAACTTCATCCCACGTTTGCTGAGACGCTGCAGCAGTTAACCCTCTATGGAGTACTCCCAACCCTCTGTGGAATACTGCTGTGTAAGACACCTACATTATCCTAGTGACCAGTGACTGACTACACAAGAAACCTGTGTCTCTGTTGTTTTTTTCTTTTTTTCTGTTTTAAATATCTAAGCCCAGTTCCTATAGCTGTTTTCCCAAGTTAATTCATGATGGTGCAAGACCTGATCAAGCTCAAGAGAATTTTGAAATGGTGTCAGAAGTTTGGTGTCATTCACACACCCATACCTTGTTTTCTCAGGTGGACTCGTTTGTGTGCCGAATGTGTGGCCGTGGGGACGAGGACGAGAAGCTGCTGCTATGTGATGGTTGTGATGATAATTATCACACCTTCTGCCTCCTGCCTCCTCTCTCAGACCCTCCCAAGGGCAACTGGCGATGTCCCAAATGTGTGGCAGAGGTGAGAAAGACCACAGAAACCTCAGTGTTACATTTTACAGTGTTGCTACATTTAGAACACTCAAAAATGTTTATTCATTGAGTAATGTTGAAGAAACATTTATAGTAAGATTTGGTAGGTTAAAGCACATTAATAAAGCATTTGATTTGGAATGTTTTTATCAGTATTTTGTTAATTCTGTCCATACACTAAAGTGTGTTGGAGTCTCACTTCTGCATTTGTGGGTCTGGATATGACTTTAATATGAGCTGTCTGTATGTAGGAGTGTAAGAAACCTGCCGAGGCATTTGGCTTTGAGCAGGCCACACGAGAATACACGTTACAGAGTTTCGGTGAGATGGCAGACACGTTCAAGGCTGATTACTTCAACATGCCAGTTCATGTGAGTATGTTTATGTATGTATATGCATCGATCATCAATTTTTAGAGTTGTTTCTGATACCAATTTCTTTACAGTCAAATTAGCCAATTTTTTTTCTTGTCCGTTAATTTATTTACTTATTTAAAGCCAAACTAAATGAACACGTGTAACCACGGTTCTGGTAATTTCTGTTAGCCAAAGATGCATTATAAATAACTTCATCCCTTTACTAGGTCAAATTGGCATTTTAAATTCTTAATTGAAAAATCAATTGCCTATTTTTACATTAGAAGTCTAATAAAGTGCTTTATTGAAAGTTGGAGGCAACTGGCTGTTTAGCACAAGGAGTTATATGCATAATTATGTTGTGTTTTGGTATAGGTCATTCAAATACAGTGCCTTACATTATTTGTGCCATAAAATTGCAAAACATTGGCCAAAATAAAAATAATAAATTTACTTATTGTCAGTTATGGGTCCTTAGTTTCAAGGGATTTATATTAAGTGCAGTTTTAATTTTTATTTTATTTATTTATTTCCCCTCCTTATTAAGATGGTGCCGACGGAGCTGGTTGAGAAGGAGTTTTGGCGGTTGGTTAGCAGTATTGAGGAGGACGTAACTGTAGAATATGGAGCCGACATTCACTCAAAAGAGTTTGGGAGTGGCTTTCCTGTCAACAATGGCAAGAGACATTTATCAGAGGAAGAGGAGGTTAGTATCTGTTCATTCTTTCTTCAAAACAAGTAGCTTACCTTCTTCCTTGTTTCTTTCCAGAATGTCCTGTCCCATTCTTTCTCATTCCCGTGTTCTTTCTTTTCATTTCAGTTGCTATTTTAGTCCCAGTTTGCCTCTCATAATTATTTATTCAGGCATTCAAATAATTTCTCTCTCCAGCATTTGTCATTAACCTCACTTCACACTTCTTTTCACCCAACAGTGAACTTGGAGTAAATTTAAAACTTGGCTTGACTTTCTGCTCTCCTGTTACAGGAGTATGCTCGCAGTGGCTGGAATCTGAATGTGATGCCAGTGTTGGAGCAGTCAGTATTGTGCCACATCAATGCAGACATTTCAGGCATGAAGGTGCCGTGGCTGTATGTGGGCATGGTGTTCTCAGCCTTCTGCTGGCACATTGAAGACCACTGGAGTTACTCCATCAACTATTTACACTGGTAATAATGCCACACAAACCCCAGTGTATCTACTTCATCAAATTCATGTCACACTTAATGTGCCTTATAAATTTGCCCGCTGAAGTTCATTAGAAACTCTTTTCAGTGATTAGAAACAAAGAGGAACGGTTTTAGAAAAGACTTATAGACTTGCATACATTTGTTCCACTAAATAATAAGGTGATGCTTTGAAAGCCCTGCATACTTTCTCTGTCATCTTCCAGATACATCGTTTGGAGGAAGGCCTTGAGTAAGGTACAAGTTGGCTGCCATAAAATGTGTCGTTTCTGTTTATTTTTACTCAGGGGGGAGCCCAAGACGTGGTATGGTGTTCCGTCAGTAGCAGCAGAGAAGCTAGAGGAAGTCATGAAGAAACTCACTCCTGAACTCTTTGAATTCCAGCCTGACTTGCTTCATCAACTCGTCACCATCATGAACCCTAATATACTCATGGCTCATGGAGTACCGGTCAGTACCACAGACAGACAACCATAGCAGCCTTCCTTAAGATATGTACATTGCGCAAATCAGGCTGATTTTACACTTGGAGGTGCTTCTGGATCCTAATTTGGGCTGTCTGTGTTTGGCAGGTTGTGCGTACCAATCAGTGTGCAGGAGAGTTTGTCATCACTTTCCCTCGAGCATATCACAGTGGCTTTAATCAGGGATATAACTTTGCTGAAGCCGTCAACTTCTGCACTGCAGACTGGGTATGCGCAGAAATGTGCAGCAGTGTGATTGAAATGTCTGAATGCATGTGGATTTTTATATTTTTAGTGTCATACTTGTATTTCTTTAAGTATCTTCGTCTTATGCATGCATAAAGCTAATCTTGCGAAGGGTTGTAGTTAAAAGTTAAGGTTTGCTTTTTTTTGTTTGTTAGTTACACATCTTAAGATCTGTAAATGTGGGTGCCTGTAGCTTTTATGTGATAAGCTAATTATGTTCACCTCTCTTAGCTGCCTACAGGGCGTTCTTGTATTGAGCATTATCGCCGCCTCCGCCGTTACTGCGTGTTCTCTCACGAGGAACTTACCTGTAAGATGGCTGCCTGCCCAGAGAAGCTGGACCTGAACCTTGCTGCCGCCACTCACCGGGAGATGTTCATCATTGTCCAGGAGGAGAGGAAACTCCGCAAGGCCCTGCTAGAGAAGGTGAGGCAGAGACTGGCTGATATGAGGAAAAGAACTAAATGGAATTGATGAGATGCCAAGATAAACAGATGGAGGACAACAAAAGGGTTAAAGGGTTAGCCTAAAACCAGAAATGGTGTGCCTTGCTTTGAGTTGACGATGAAAGCTGTGACATGGTTTTAGGCTGCAGAGTAGGTGTACTTAAAGGAATAGTTTGGCAAAAAAATCTAATTTGCATATTTTTCATCTTGTCCTAAATGTCAGTCATTTTGTTTTGGAGCTACAAGACTAATGTAGTAATGAAAGCTTATCAGAAATTACTTAAATCTATTTGGGGTTACTTGACTACTTGAAATGGTTTTAGGCAAGTGTGTAATGTTAGGCATGCAGTTTGTACACTGATAATTTGTGAGGTTTAAGATAACACTTGTTCGCAGTTGTGGACAAAGTTGTAAAAAGGAGTGAAAGCAGAAAAATCTTTGGCCAAAATGGCACGAACGTAGAAATCTCACACAAAAGTGCTTGCTTTTAAATGTACTTGAATATCAAAACTTAGTGTCATGCCTACAGCTACACAAATTGTTTATCAAAATTTCTGCATTAACACAAGCTTTACATTATTATTAATTAAATACATCATTTTTATTGCTTACAGTAAGTCTTTCTGTATCTTAAACCACATTGGCAAGTCTGCACGGCCTTAATGAAGACCTGGATGTGGGTTGAGAAGTTTAAGGAATCTAGTTTTACAGAAACGATTTGGGCTGTTTGGGTAACTATGGAGTGCTAGGGTTTGTTAGCCTTGTACCTTCAGTTCTAAACAAAGCAAGCAAAATTTGAATGCCAAACATGTCTTGGCTAATTAGCTACATCTGGGGTAAGTGGAAAAGTGGGTAAATTTGATTTTTCACCAATGCACTAGTAATGAACAAATTTTCTGGTTTTTAAAACTGAAATGTGCTCACAGGGTGTAACAGAAGCGGAACGAGAGGCATTTGAGTTGTTGCCGGATGACGAGAGACAGTGTGATAAGTGTAAGACCACCTGCTTCCTCTCAGCCCTGGCTTGCACCAACTGCACAGAGCGCCTTGTCTGCCTGTACCACACGCAAGACCTCTGCTCCTGCCCCACAGACAAACTCTACCTCAGGTACATACTGATGTCTTCATGTGCGGTTCTAGCCATTGTCCTGACGTGGGTTCAGATGGATATAATGGATGCAAGTCAAATATAACCTTTCTGTCTTCTGTTCTGCCCTCTCTCAGGTATCGGTACACTCTGGACGAGCTATTGGCCATGCTGCACAGGCTGAAGGTTCGGGCCGAGTCCTTTGACTCTTGGGCCAACAGAGTGAAGGAAGCTCTTGAGCAAGAGGATGGCAACAAAATAGGTCAGACAAGCGTTGTGTTGCTGATAATAGCATAAGTAGAAAAATGTGTTTAATTTATGACTTGAAAATTTTTTATTCTGTCTGTGTAGATTTGGTAAATCTCTTGAACTAGTACGCTGATGTTTTCTCTCCTCCACCAGGCATTAAAGATCTGGAAGTGTTAAAGGAGGAAGCGGCCGAACGCAAGTTTCCAGACAACGAGCTGCTCCAGCGGCTCTCGGGTGTTATGGATGACATTCACAGGTGCCAGAGCAGGAGCACAGAGCTCCTGAACGGCAGCCAGACCAGCAGGATGAGCCTGCAGGACCTTCGGACATTGGTGGAGACTATGCACAACTTGCCCTGTGTCATTGAGCAGCTGGGGGAGGTGCAGGTGGGCATGTTGGAGGAACTGAAGCTCATATCCATTCTGAAGCATCATTCACTTGCCTCAGATTGCTTTGTGTTTTAAAATAATCTCAAATAGGCTTGCTTCTGTGGTCTCTGACAGTGTATGGTATACTACTATTAAACTTGGGCCAAACTACAGACAATTTATGTCTCAAGATGGCTGTTACTGCCGTTTTTAGCTATGCAGTATTTCTTCTCTAATGTTTTAAAATTTGTTATACAAAGGCAGAGAATACAAAGTCTTTTTTAGATTTCTTAATACCTCATTGCAGCTTGAAGCAGGTATGTTGTGAGCTCATTAGCCTCACAGCTTAAGCCTCATACTGCCAAACTAAACCAAACAGTCCTGGCAGATTAATGGCATTTGAGCCAAGATTGGGGGTTTTTGTTTTTGTTTTGTTTTGTTTGTTTTTTTTTTTTGTTTTTTTGTTTTTTTATGGATACCTTTTAATGTCTTTTCATTACTTTGTCATGAATCCTGAGAACTAATGATTTCTGCCTTTAGTTTGTGTTCTGAGTCATTACGGTGAAATATTAACAACTGTTACCCCCATTTTCTCAGACTGTATTACAGAAAATCGAGGCGTTTGATTCCCGTGCCCAAGCGCTGGTGAACAGCAGTGGAGATGAGTGGAAAAAGGCTTCTCCTTCTCCTCCAGCAGCGGATATTAAGGCCTTGCTTGAGGAGGGCGCTCTGCTGCCAGTAGTGGCCCCAGCATGTGAGCTGCTGGCTGGACTCCAGGAGCAGGGTCGCTGGCTGGAACAGGTGCGACGAACGCTGGGGCCTGAAGGTGGAGAGGTGACTCTAGCAGTGCTCAGGAATCTGATGGAGGCTGGCTGCAACGTACCGCAGAGTGTGAGTGTGGAGACGGCCATGGCAGAGCTGCAGGAACTGCTGACCATTGCTGAGCGCTGGGAGGAAAAGGCCCAGATTTGCTTGGAACACAGGTGAGGCTGGAGTACAAACCGTACATCCTCTTTTAACCATCCCCCTCTCACCGTTTATTGTATCCCTCTGAACTACACATTTGTGAACATGTGTGGTCATTGTATGCTTTTCTTTTTTTAAATAGGTGACTGCCAGCCTGCATAATGTTAACGTGTTGGCATTGTCATATTTACCAAACCAGAATTTACAGACAACAACATTAAAACCTAAAACCAGTAATCTATTCTCATGTTTTTTGAGACAGGTGCGGCAAATATCAGTTGTGAGCCTGCTCAGCCTGTAACTGCACCTGCCTCTGTAAGGTTAGGGTTAGCATCTCAGTCTGCATTTGCAGCACCTTTCTCTTATGTGCACATTTTCATCATTGCACATTGTCTTCTAGTACAGAGTGAATAGGTAATAGGTAAAATATTGAATATAGCAAATTGTAAAGGAATAGTTCAGTTCTAATGTACCCAGTGTTCCACTTACCCAAGATGTAGTCAACCAGCAAAGACATAAAGTCCAAATTTTTCTTCTTTAGTTCAGAACTGGACAGACATGGCTAACATTTCTAACAAACACAAGAATTCAGCAGTCACCCAAATAGCCCAAAAGTGTTTGTTAAAATACATCCCCAAAACTTAAATAAACCCGCTAAGATCACACAGCCTTGCTGATTTGGTTTAGAACATAGAAAGATCATACTGCGAGCCATAAAACAAAACTTCACCACTATGGGCCGGCATTTCAGGCAGCGCTGACGTTCACAAAGAAAGGTTGATTTTGGATCAGATTCCTGTGTATTTTTGTGACTGTATACTGGTTCTGGATCAGCACTCCTACTTCTGAGGTGGTTTGTAAGTATAGACCCTGTTGTCTAAAGTGGCTGCCTCCGATTCTGTTCATTTTTATAGGTCACAGTAAGCCATGTTGTGTCTTAAACCACATTGACACTTAGTGAAGACCAGGTTACGGTTTGAGGGGGGTTTGGTGATTTTGTATTTTTACAGGAACAGTTTTGGTGACTATTGAGTTATAGTGTTTGTTAGCAATGTTTAGCTTTGTCATTCCAGTTCTATGCTAAAGCAGAAAAATTTTGACTCCAAATGAGTCTTGGCCAATCTACTACATGTCCATTCCTTCAATAAAAAATGTGTTTTCCTCCAAGATCTTGCTGTGACCATGCTGAAATGTTTTAATAATAAGGTATTAAAACTAGAGATGTACCGATCCCAGTTTTTCTCTTCCGATACAGGTTCCGATACCTAAGCTCTGGGTATCAGCCAATACTATGAACTGTCTGATTTCAGTGTGTGTGTGGTTTTGTTTGTTTTTTTAAATTCTGTAAACCTCACTGAGTCTAACATGAAGCTATAACTAGAGTTCCAATACTCCCATTTTTTTAAACATCCTTTTTTAAACATTGGAAAATATCGACATACTGCCTTGTTTGAAGTGTTTAAGTGTTTTAGCATTAAGAGAATGTAAAACACAGGAAAAGCAGCATCAAGATGAAAAAACCCTATCATGACTAAACATGTAAATGGACTGTTAAGCTTAACCACAATCTCTTTGAAGATAAGAAATCAAAGGGAGGAACACTAAACTCTTGATGGAGTGTTCCGCTCACTGCTGTGGTCTGTGGAGTGTTGCTGCTGGCAGTGGCAGAATTTTTCCGATGCGACTTTAATGGAAACAATGGAATATCAGGTTTGCTGTCATCCATCTACCACAATCATGTGAACGCAGCATCAGGGGGGGTATTGAATGTGTATCTGACACATCTGGCCGATACCAGATTTGTTTACTAAGGTCAGTGTCCAATTCAGAGTACTGGATCGGTGCATCACTGATTAAAATCACTAACACAAATGTGAAACGTTTTTGAAATGTAAGTTACATTGACTGCCTCTCAGCCAGTCAGTGATCAGACTTCTCCCTTTTCGTGTGTGCCTTTTGCCTTCGTTGTTTTCTATGTTGCTGTTTTGGTTCCCAACCCCAACACTTCACTGTTCAAACCAATCTGTTGCTTTTGTAAGCTGTGTTTACCCCAAAAAACCTTCTGTGCTTCTCTTTTCTCTATATGTCTGTTGGAGCAGGCAGAAGCATCCTCTCTCCACATTGGAGGCCATAGTGAATGAGGCCCAGCTGATCCCGGTGCAGTTGCCCAACATCCTGTCTCTGCAGGCCTGCTTGAGCCGGGCCCGTGCCTGGGTCACTGACCTGGAGGAAATCCAGGCAAGAGCTGCACATCGATTTCCACCATTATAACTTACAAAACATTTAAAACTCGAACCTTGTAAGCCAAGATAGACTTCAGCGATAGCTATTTCAACTTTTCACGCATAAGCAGTCGTCATCTACCTCCCAGTGAAACCTCCCAGTGAACTCAAATTAAACAGTCATTTGTCATAGTATGTTGATCTACATGATTTAGGTTTGTTTTGGGTGGCAACATCCATCTGGAAAGTCTTTATTATGAAAATGTTAACGATGCTTACGATACCCTTCTGTCCTTCACCCATCTTGGAACAGAATGGTGAGCACTACCCATGCCTGGATGACCTGGAGGGCCTGGTGGCCATCGGCCGGGACCTGCCTGTGCGGATGGAGGAGCTGCGACAGCTGGAGCTACAGGTGGCCAGCGCTCACTCCTGGAGAGACAAGGCCAGCAAGACGTTTTTGAAGAAAAGCAGTCAGCACAGTTTGCTAGAGGTGAGAGGAAGACAGTGAAAGGATTGCCTGTAGGCTTCAGTTAGCTGATGCGGATTGTCATTAGGGTGCGTGCACAGAATACGTAAGAAGGGAAAGTGCTTTCAAGACTGGTTTGACAAGGTTTCAAAGGAAATCAGCACAACTGTTACTTGAAAATCATTGACCAGTTTGGCAGGATGTCTCAGGGAATGAATTAAGCAGAAAACTAGTTGTAGCAGCAGCCTGTGCCAAACTGCACACCAAACTGCAGTGGTGGTTCATTGTAAGTGCCTGTTTTTTAAGATGATCTTTCTGTCTCTGCAGGTGTTGTGTCCACGTGTGGAGAAGAGTAAGAAAAGGGAGGAGGACTGTGTAAGCTCAGGAGCAGACTCTGATGTCAATGTGCTGGGCCTCACTGCTCAGGACCTCAGAGACCCAGGAGCCATTGTGAGTCAGATCGTACACCCATGCGCTGCAGGCCAAAAAATTGGTTTCAGGACTAACCTAACTTGTAACCTAATGAATGTGCTCATTGCATTTTTCCCAATTGATGATGCACAGTGCTATATTAACGTAGAACAAAGGAGTTCAACTAAATATCTGCAGCAACAGTCCACAACTTCTTTATTTGATTTTCTCCTGGGGATTTTTTTTTTCTTCATAGTCCTCATAGGAAAGTCTGGCCCCTCGGCAGCCATCTTCGCAACACATATGGGCAGTTATTTCCAGTCATATAAGACCAGGCCTCTGCTTCTTTGACTGGGGAGACACAACTATGAAACTGAAAGCTACACTAATGTTTCAAAAACATTTGAAATCATTGATGAAATCTGATTAAAAAAAAAAACAGCGTAAATAGTTTGTAGAAGGCTTTACAGAAGTTTTCTCTTTTTTCTTCACCCCCCCACCACCCCCTAGTTCTAGCTACTGAATATCTCCACTGCAGGTGGGAGCTTTTCCTACTTTACCAGCAAACCAATCTTTTTTTTGTAGTAGGTCTGGGGCAGTCCCTGTAAACAGACAAAATGTTGAGCATTACAAGTTTTCCTATAGATTTTCCAACCAATCAGCTGTCTTCTCCTTTATAGTGTCTCTGGTTAAGGTTGCATACCTTACTGCACAGCTTTGTTCCTGTATGCTAGTACTGATTTCCGTGCACTCTCACTCAATCAGGTGATGGCATTCAAAGAGTGTGAGCGGCAGGAGAAAGAGGCACTCCTTTGCCTGCAGCAGCTGAATCTGGCCAAACCCGGTCCAGAATGCACCAACGGGGACACAGAGCCCAGAGACATCAAACAAGAGCGGAGGTGGAGCGACTCCATGGACTCTGACACGCCCCTCCCCTATGTTAACCCCCAGCAGAACGGTGGCTCCTCCCCTTCGCATACAACCAGCCAATTGGTGTGCGTGTGTGGTGGTCCTCCCCGGCCGTTAGTCCACCGCTGCCATCTGTGCAAAGACTGGTTCCATGGAGGCTGTGTGCCCTTCCCCTCTGTACTGGGCCCTGCTGAGGCCCCCCTCACCAACATTCTCTGCTGGTGGGACTGGGACACGCGCTTTCTGTGCCCACGGTGCCAGCGCTCGCGGCGCCCGCGGCTAGAGACCATCCTAGCCCTGCTGGTGGCTCTGCAGAGGCTGCCGGTGCGTCTACCTGAGGGGGAGGCCCTCCAGTGCCTCACTGAAAGAGCCATCAACTGGCAGGGCCGAGCCAAACAGGCTCTGGAGACTCCGGAAATACAAGGGCTGCTGCAGAGACTGCAAGAACTCAAAGAGACTGAGATTAAGGAGGAAAAGGAGGAGCAGCAACAGCAGCAGCAGCAGGAGGAGGAGGAAGAAGAAAAGAAAGGGAACAAGGAGGAGGTAATCGTACTGTCGGACTCAGAGGAAGCAGAAGATGGTGTGATAGACTTGACAGAAGAGGGTGACTTGGCGAAAAAGGACAAAGAGAAAGCTGCTAATGGAATACAGGTGAGATCAGGGCAGTTCGGTGTAAAAACATTACCATTCTGCCCACATTTTGCTTGGTTAAATTGTCTTTCCACGTCATCTTTTATTCATTCAAAAGACACTGTCTGGACAAACATGACCTGCAAGTCATTCCCTTACCATATCTTGTATTTAGCTTGTGTGCAGTGTACCGATTTTTCTTTTCTTCTTAAAAAAAAAAAGGATAATTACATTTTCTTTTTTTGATAACTGCTTGTCTTTCCACAGTCTGGCTGTGAAAATGGCCTAAAGAAGCCAGACATTCACAACATAGCAGGTTAGTAGTACTGTTATTGCACATTTAGTACTGTTATTGCACTATTATTATACAGCAGGATGCTTTTAATGCTGTGCTGTTACAGTGAGTCATGTAACTGTAACTTACCAACTTCTGCCAAACATCAGAATTACATTGCAGGATTTTTGGCTTGTTTTTGTTGTTTATTTTTTTTTCCCCCCTCTCCTTTCTCTCTGGTTATTAGGGGTTGAGTCTCTGGTGCCATTGGTACCTTGTCTTAAAGGGCCAGTAATTGAACTGGCCCCCTCAACCAGAGCGCAGTTAGAGGAGCTGCAGCTAGAGGGCGACATACTAGAGGTTACGCTAGACCAGACTCAAACCATCTACAGACTCCTGCAAGCAGCATCACCGCCGCCACGCCAGACTCTACTCACACTTATACAGGTAGAAGGCTTTTTTTAATTTTTTTTTTTCCTTTTTTTTTTCCAGTCCTAGTTCTGAAAGCCTCCTGCTGTGCATGTTTGTGTTTTCCCTGCTCTCTGCACACCTGATCCAACTGATCAGCTTATTAACAACCCCTTACTGTGATGAAGTGGGTAGGTTAAAGCAGGTAAACCACTAAAATCTGCAGGGCAGAGGCCTCCTGGACCAGGATTGTGAAACACTGCTTTAGGTAGGTTTTACACAGTGAAACTTTTTTCTGTACATGCAGTTGAATGCAGCACATTTGCTTACTCCCCTTTTCTTAGCCAAATTAGCAACTTTATTTTTTTTTAAGTACACTGTATTGTTCTCACTATGTAAAAAAAGGACAAAAAAATTCCCTGAGGAACTTGATTACTGAAGACCAATCCAGTACAGCAGGCATATTCAGGTTAGTTTGATTGCAGTGAGTAGGGTCAGCAGGTTCAGGGCAGTCCTTCAACATAGATGGACAGTTTTTTAGATAGATAGTTTTTAATGAAACCAATTAGTTGTCTAAGAGACTGTCTTATTTTCTATTTTGCAAATTTACTATTGCTTTTTAATAAAGCAAGGGTTTTCTTATCCGATTAATTAGTGGAATAATCAGTAGAATACTTAATTACTAAAATAATTGATAGCTGCAGCTAAAGTCATCTGCGATCTGCGAATCATCTACCTCTCTATGGATGCCTCGCTCATTCTGTCCGTGAAGCACTGCGACTTCATTAAGGGCTGCATCTCCTCTTTTTTAATAATTTTCATCATTTGCATCCTAAGTGATTCTGAGCTCTGTGTAAAATTAGGGAATGTCAAGGGAGGAGAAAATGAACATTTATTTCTACATAAAATAAATACTGTCACAAGCAGTGGTTTCAACAGCTGTTTCTGTTAACTCACTGGTTAATCAGCTGGTTACAGAAATGTAAGCTTTGAGAAAGTTGCTATGTTGTCGTGGCTCAGGAAGCTAACTAAATAGGGAAAACTGCCAACCTTGCATTTTTTAAGTTGCAGGGTGTTTTATGTTATGCAATTCAAGTGAAATTTAGTTTCATGTAAGTTTGAATCAACTGAAGTTGCATGCAGGTTTCACCATGTAAAACCAGAGTATAAGGAGGGTTGGTTCAATATTAAAGATTCAAAAATCTTTAAAACTTTTTAATTCCTGGAAGTTCGAGCGAGGAAATCCAAAGTGGATTTGACTGCATCTTCTTACCATGTGTGTATCAGATCGAGCTGCAGGAGCAGAAGCGCTCAGGTCGCGGCAGTAGGGCAAAGGACTCTCGGAAGAAAAGGAAGAGTCAGAGAGCTGAAGGAGGACCCAAGCCCACCGAGGCCTCAGAGTCCAAGAAAGCACGATCTGTCAACCACACACCTGCACACATGCACCAGGAGGTACTCCAAAAGCACATTTCAGTCAGCAGATGCGTTTCTAACATTAATCCATGCTCAGTTACAGCTTAAAATTTTGACATCAGAGTTATTTTTTTGAATTTGTTTAAAAGTTAATGTTGCATATATAGTTTTGTTTTGCTGGAACAAAAAAACCCAGCAAAGTCCCTTCACATTTTTGCCATGTTATGTTGTTTCTTGATGGAGGAAAAAGTGAAAGCTACTCAAACCAGTCAGTACATGTGAATTGAACTATTTAATTATAATTAATTATGTATTTATATAATTACATTAATCTAAATAAAGTGTAAAAATATACAGTATATATGTTCTCTTAAGGGCTATATGGTTCAGATTGCAAAGGCCTGTATGTCGGTCCACACTTCAATTCTTCACTCTTTTATCTACCCAACTTACGTATAAGATACTGAATAAGCGTTGGCCCCATTATTGGGAAACTGCCCGTTTAGTCTGTGGCCAGGGGTCCAAGAGAGTATAACCAGCCTTGTTCTTTCTGCAGATTTTGTGATGAGTTGGTTTGGTGACCTGTGGAAGAGGATCATGGTGGAACGAAGACCCACAGAAGAACAGTTCAGAAAATCAGACTGGGCCAAAGAAGCACCCAGACAGCAGAGGAGATTACACACTCATTCTTTCCACTTACTGAGTTCAGACACACCTACTGCCCATGACAAACTTGCTCATTTCATTTCTCTCATTCACACTCCTTCCATTGGCACCGTTTAACTACTGCACTCCCTCCTCGTCTATGTCCATTATCATGCTTTCACTCGCACCCCTCATGCCAACCTACTCATCCTCCATTACTCTCTGTATGCAGGGCTGATCAGTCTGTGGCAGTTCCCCTCCCCTTCTCTGTCTGCTGCTTTCCAGTGGGGATTACTGGGAATTTGCCCTCTGGCCCGGCTGTCCATCTGTCTGTACTGTTTAAACTGTACCAAACAGTGCTGAACCCACCAAACGCCAGCTCACTGTCCTGCATAATGTGACATAGTCTAGCTACACACACACACTGGTTTGGTGGCGTCGGATATACAAAGAGGAGTGTGGCACAGTTGCCATGACAGTACTTGTATTTTTTATGTATTGAGTCTCGTGTTTTGTTGAGGCTGTTGAGGGAGACTCTGTTTTTGAATAAACTAGTAGATTATTTTGGGAAGTGTGAAAAATAAAAAGGAAAAAAAAGAAGAAAAAAAGGGGGCATTTGAGTTTTGGTGCTACTTTCCCAAAATAGGTCACTGCATATTATTCCTCTCTATCTACTGACATTAATTTTAATCATTTCAATTCTTTTACTTTCCCTTGATGCTTCTGTTTTGTCTTGTTCTGCTGTCTCTTTTTCTCCCACCTTTTCTTCCCTTCCCCAAAGTCCAAGGAACTGTACAAACACCTCACTGTAACTCGCTTTATCTCCATTTTATTTTGTCCCTGGGTTCTAATAATTATATTATTATTATTGGTATTGCAGACAAGCAATTGTTGTGAGTTTGTGTATAAACATTTTCATTTCAATGTTGCCTTTGTTTTCTTTTCACTCTTGTTAGAGAATAAAAGTTTAGAATTGTTTTAGGAGTCTGTGGAGGTGTCATCTTTCTCATTGTGGGTTGGAAAAAATCTGTCACTTACAGCAAAGACCAGATTCAGCACTTTTTCAACATTTATGATCAATGATTTTGCTTATGTGTAGTTGATAGAACATTTAGCTTCTTTAATTTTTTTTTTTATCCTGGGTTTCAAGCTGTTTAAATGGTGGAAGTGTATGAGGCTAAAGCCCAGCTTAAATCTTGGCAGAGTTCTGTCTATTGTTTCAGAAATGTACAAGTTTAAGCTCACGTGCAAAAGCCTGGAAACTCACCAGTCTCCAACAAAAGGAATCAGGTGAAATCTTCACAATTTTCTCATGAACGCCTCTTTTTTGCATTCACAGGTTGGCACTTGGGTTAAGATGGGCATTAAAAGCTAGTCTTTTCCTCAGAACACATTTATAAAACATTTGATTCTGTTTTCCACACAAGGCCTTATGAAATTAGGTACTTTTGTTAATGAAAAAAATCCCAGACAGCTTTCTTTGCAGTTCTCAGACTGAAGGTCTGATTCTTATCAGTGTTTGAGTTTTGGAACATTAATAAAAGATGAACAAGTTAGGATTAAAGCACAGTTATAGTAATGTAATGTAAAGATGGATTCAGCAATTAAACTGAAATGTGTACTCCAACTCAGAAATTCACTTTACCTCAGAGATTTAAATTCATCTGTGTGCAAATTTCAACTGAATGCATTTAGTGAACTGAACAATTTGAATTAACATCAAGTTTAGAAAAATTGCTATTAAAATAATTAGTAGAGCAAATAGTTTAAGCCTTTAAGAAACTATCAAAATTGAATGTGGACAGCTTGACTGAGCACAGAATAAGATTCGGATGTAGTGTAGTAACACTGTAATGTCACATGCCCAGTGGAAAAAACTAATTCTGATCTGGCCATTCTCATTAAGGGAACTCCACCAATTTTTCAAAATTTCTACATAAAGAGAGTCAGATATGTTCACGGTGGTGGTGATAGGAACCAGACATCTGAGGAGTCTAATTGCACTAAAAGCTCCTTCCCAGAAAGTTATTACATGAAATGTGAATACACTGCCTGATGTCGGAGACATTGCGTTGTGATAAAGTTTTGGTCTACATCGTATTTTAATCTGTTCATGGTGGAGGGATACATGAAGGGTGTTCTAAGATAAAATAGTCCTCAAAGAATGCTTTTTGACTGATTGTTACTTTACCATCATCAACATTACATTTAAAAAAAAACTCATAAGACGTGAAAATAGCTGTATTTGCATTGTAGACATCAGGACTTCTGGTTCCTATCACCTCCACTGTAAAGAAATCTGAGTCGGCAAGTTTCTCTGCAAATGGAACACTTCACGTCAAACCACTCTGAATGACTTAGTTTACATCTCAACCACTGAATCCACAGAAAAATCTATGGAATTCCCCATTAGGCCATCAATGGCATGTGCATCTGATTTAAGCACACATCTCAGGTGGATCTGATTTGAAAAAAATCAGATGTGTGGCCACAGAGCTCTGAAAAAAATTCAATTTGTGCCGCTTCAGCCTGGTGATGTGAAAGTAGCCCATCAGTGCTGTTATGAATTATCCATTTCATTTGCCTTTTAAATAACAGCAGTAAACACAGGTAAAACTGCATTGACATCAACTAGTCTGCTAAAAGTGTCTAAGCTAAGTTTTGTTTTTATGGACACACATTAAGCCATGTTTTTGATTCTGCATTCTGCAATCATACAGATATAAACGACTAAAAAATGCTTCATAGAGATGTCAGAATTGTTCACAGCCCTGGTGACGAACCCGATGTTCGAAGTGTTTAATGCCTCAAAAAGTTCTCACAGAAGGCTACTGCATGCAATCGTTATGAATGAGCTGGTAGTTTTGAGAAGATTTTGGCCTGAAATATTTAAAATATATACACAGCACAAAAGGTACATACAGGCCAAATAGTACCCAAAGAAAACTTCCCCCCAGATCTACCACTGTTTACTATCAACGTTACCAAAAAAAAAGTGTAGATTCACTGATTATTTTGAACAGTAAATAAAATGGCTATATTTGTGTTGTAGACATGGTGACCCCTGGTTCCTATCACCACCACTGTAAAGAAATCAGAGTCAGTAAGTTTCCCCTTTAATTGAACAAGGATCAACATCTTACTAACATAAGTGTAATGTTCATAGTTCTGAACAGGGCTTAAGACTCTATTTTCTCCTCCACTGCAGTCCCTTTTAACCATGTATATACTATGTAAACTTAGTGTAAACCTGGAATTAACTGTTTGTGTACTGGCCACTAATTACTTATAAAGGCATTGTAGTAAAAACTGATCCCTTTTCCATTCATACACATGACACGAAAATACACATCTGTGTGAAACGTTGGCACTTAGAAATACAAATAATGTTGGCTCAGTATCGATTATGAGAGTAAACACATACATGCTGTGGCAGAAATTATACAGTGGTGCTTGTGTTTGAGAGGAAATAAAGATGCATAGCTCCAGAACGCCACCCAGCAGACAGACAATCACGTTCAAGACTCGCTCGTCGCAAGCAGATGATCCAGCATCTTCTCGCACATGTAGAGACATCGAGGAACGTGGAAGAACCCTGGAGGCAAGTATTACAAAAAAAGTATTTGAAAAATCTGAAATTGTCACAGTAAACCAATAAGCCACAAGAGGTTGTGCATTACAGTGATGTTACTACAGTTAACGTAGATACAGTTAAGTAGTACGGAGAAACAAAAGACAAAACATCAATGTGCAATATACAATTTATTACTAATAATACTAGCAATAAACATTTTTTTCTGTCAACCAGTGCAGTTTGTTAACATTAGGTTGTGGTTGCCAAGCAACACTGCAGTAAAATTCACAATTCAATAGTTGAGATATAAACAAAGTCATTCCGAGTGGCTTTGTGTGAAATGCTCCATTATACAGAGGAGGATTTTTCATAGTAGTGGTGACAGTAACCAGACAGTAACCAGTAACCAACACAGTGTCACTGCTGGACTGAGAATTGTCCACCAACCAAAAACATCCAGCCAACAGCGTCCTGTGACCACTGATGAAGGACTAGAGCAGAGGTCACTAATAGGCGGACCACGGACGCTGCCCTATGCCCACCTGGGGCCTATAACTGAAAAACTATCAAGAATTATTTAATTTCGACAGGTTGCTTCTATTTTAATCGGCGTAGCTTTTACAGCATTTACGGTACGGCTTTAGCGGCCCGGGAGACTCAGACCAATCGCATGGGTTGTAAAAATCACACGTGATGCTACTCAGCCAATCAGATCTGTGCACTACGATGAGCACTGAGACTCGAGTGAGTGATGCACACACAGGGGAGGGACGAGGTGAGACACAGCAGTCAGAGAATAAAGTGAGCCAGAGGCAAGTTATTTTACATGGTGCGCTCTAAAAAGAGAAAACTGACAATAAATATTGTTGAAGTATCACTGAACTGTACTTTATTTGATTCGACATTCAGTTGTCGACTGTATAAGATGTTGATATACCTACTAGGCTACTTCAGTAAACAGTAAATGGCACTGAATCATGATGCAAGTTAGACATTATGAGGTTCTGGACCTTTGCTTGAGGAAATTTTCTATGACTGGACCTTATTGAACTTTAATTAAAGACCCCTGGACTGTGCAGAAACAGATGTTTCCAAACTCCAGCAGCACTGCTGTGTCTGATCCACTCATACTAGCACAACACACACTAACATGCCACCACCACGTCAGTGTCCCTGCAGTGCTGAGAATGATCCACCTGAGTCTGTAAGTTTCTCTTCAATGCACAGTTTCACATCAAACCCTCTGAATGACTTTGCTTACATTTCAATCATTGAACAGAAATGTAAAAAAACTGCTTGAATTCACATTTAATACAGAATGTATGGTGGAGTGTGTAGCATTTTACAATGACGTCAAACGTGGCTCATCCAATCAGATTCAAATTCATCATTTTAACATTAACGCCATTCTACCCAAGTAGAGCGCTTTTTTGAGGTTCTACTTACATCAGCACATAGGAGGATTGACGTGAAGAGTACAGGTTTGCAAGCTGAGCTATAAATAACTAACAGGTGCAAAGAATAAAAAAAATAACCCTGTTTAACCTTTTTTAGCCATTCCTGCTTTCATGTGTTTTAAACGCTTACCTTTGAAAGGTCCCCCTTTGAAGTCCAACACTACTTCACCCTGACGACTCAAATATCCGAACCATTCTCCATGCTCTTCGTCAGGAAACTGAGAGAGGCAGGAACAAACAAAAGAAGGTCACCCTGCAGTCTTTGCAGCACTGATAAAAACACCCCTTTCATAAACAACCACCCGGAAATTTTTATTATATATATAAATAAATATCCCAGGGTAAAATCTGTGTTTCAAAATGATAATTAAAAAATGAGAAATTATGGATTAGTCTAACTGGTTTAATCATAATTCCAGATCGCACTCACATGGCTGAAGGTGTAGTCGTAGACCTGTTTGAACCTGTCCAGCAGTGCAGGTTCTTTGAAGTGACTGTAGGCCATCAGATATGAGATAAGAGCCTCGCAGTGCGGCCACCAGAGTTTCATACTCCACTCCAGCTACACAGAATTGAAAAGTTAACAGCCGTGTTAGTGTCAAATGGAAAAGGTGTTTCACAGCAGTTATGTTCACCATGTAAAACAAACGTCTGTACTATATTTAAAGTTGCATGCTGTAAGATTTTTTGTTAAAATAAAGTAGCAGAAAAAAAAACTACACACACGCTAAAATGTGATGGTGGTTGCACTGCTGAGAGTCACCCTGTAAAGTCTGTAAAGTAAAATAGTCATTTAAAAGTCAGAGGTGTTGGATCAGATTTGTCAAATGCAAAATCAACATAATACTAATTAAGATTTGATGATGACCATAGTAGATAATTCACTCATATCCTCGGAAGACAGAGGACGTAAGTTCTCTTTGAATACTCTTTCAACGCACTCGCAATCATCACATTCACCCACTCGGTGTGTCAGAAGCATAACCATATTACAAAATGTTCTTCGGCACATCGCAAGCAATTGCACATTTCAACCAGAGAGGGCTCCAAATCCCCAACCATTACATAGTGCAGCTTTCAAAACCATTTATACAATATTTTGCAAACAGTTGCAATCTTGCCCAATCTTACGGGCAAAGGACTTTGTCATTAATTCATGTAGCCTTTAACAGCCCATAATCTATTTGTTTTATCTAATATTTACACAATGTGTAGTGTTCTGCAATCATTACATGTAAATCAGTGTCAGACATAATCATCGAACGTAGTGTTTTCAGAAGCCTACAGTGCTCATGTGATAATTTATCTGATCAAAATAAAAAGTTAGAGAGAAAGGTTAAAGAGAAAGGTGCACAATCAACTCAGTTAAGGCTACTACAGCTAAGTAGGCTAATTTAGCAACCATTTTCTCTCAATGCTAAAGCTTAAAAAATGACACCTTATCATGGCAAATACAAGGTTTTGTGTTATATAACTGATTTTTAAATATTAACTGAACAATTGTAAAATGTAATTTGATGATTTTTTCTTTTCAACTAGATTTTGAGGGCATAACAAGCATGTATCATGCAGGTATTTGTGGACCACTTAGCTAATCCTTTGTAAAATGAATGTTTAAGATTTTTCTTTCATTTTTAAGTGCCCCATCAGCAGCTCCCTCCTACTGAATATTTTTAAATGCAGCGTTGCTCAAGCTGACTTGCATAATGGCATGAACATCTAACGTGGGATGCAATGCTGGTCATTTATGTGTTCCAGTGTGAAGCCCTGTGTCATATCCAGAGCAACATTCTTCATTTGCACCATGCAACTTTTTATATTGCTTGTCTGTGAGCAAGTTCTGTTAAACAAGCAATGAAGATTGAATTCCAAAGCGAATGTTTGGGGTCTCATTCTAACCTGAGTGGGACAATGCCCATCTGCATCGAGGAAGTAGAAGAGTCCTCCATGTTGCTCATCCCAGCCGGTGAGGAAGGGGACCTCCATGAACATTTCCACTGCTGATGTCTGCAGCTTTGCATCACCTTTTGCCTTTGCATACTGCAGGAGGAACCATCCAGCCTCCAGGGCATGACCTTGAACACAGAACAGGTTTCATTTTGCTTCAGGGTTTAAAGCATGCAGAAGACTTTTGATTTATATCTGTGAGACAGACTTCCGCATAAACTCTCCAATAAGCAAATCTCTCCAAATCTGTTGACTACTGATAACTAGGGGTGGGAATCTTTAAGCACCTCACGATTCGATTTGATTACGATTCAGAGGGCTGCGATGCGATTCTAAAACGATTATCGATGCATCTTTTTTCTCTATACAGGATTTCTATCTTCCTACTGTCTGAGGACTTGGTAGTTTTAAAGCAAAGTATTTGTAATGATCCATAATGCAAATGTAAATGGGGGGTATTTTCGAGACTGGACGCTGAATCTCGGCTCCAAAGTGTGCAGCATAGCGCGAAAGCCCTGGTTCTTAACGACCGAGAACAGACAGCAGACAGCAGGTCACATAGCACCGAGGTCTGGCCTCGCCAGTAGCGAACGAAAAAACAGAGATTAAGACGAACATTGGGAGGACTTATTCGCATTTATAAGCAGCGCGGTTGGTTAAATCTGCTGAGAGACTGTCTTTCTCTAAAACGTTGCGAAAATGAACTCGCTTCTCTTTCGAATTTTCCCGTTCCACCTTAAATGGTGCAGCAGTTACATTCGGCGCCTAAGGCAGAATTTAAGGTGGAACGGGAAAATCAGAACGAGAAGCGAATGAGAAGCGACCTCAGCCTCGTAAAACAGCCGGATGCTGAGACATTTTACAAGAAACTCTTCTAGTTTTAAAGAAAAGTTTTCTGGCGGAGTTGGGAGGAAAGCGGCTATAGCTGAAGCTTAAAGCAGAGCGAAGTAAATCTGCGCTCTCGTTTATATTTCGTTCACGTCCGCATCGCAATGCATCTAAGAATCGAGTTTTTCCCGCACCCCTACTGATAACCTTCACTACTTTGAAAGATAAATTTTGAAAAATACTTAAGACTAGCCTAAAGACTGGTAAGCAGATATATTATATTAGTATTGGAAAGTACTTTTGACCAAGATTTACTTCCGTCGTAATGCATAAAATCACTAGTAATGAGACCCTATTATTTTTTTTCCATAATCATATCAAGCATTGCCATTCTCGTCTTATGTTTTGCAAGAGGACCATGTGAAGTACCTGGGTTCTGGAGACGTCCCTGGCAACCAGGTATCTCTTTTCCATCCAGTGAGACATTTTCAAGAATGGCCTTTCCATTTCTCTGAGGAAAATCAGACCAAGAGCACAGGAGTTTATTCAAAGAGCGTTAGAGCCATTCTACTTCTATAATATCACCGAATCAGAATTCCTAGAACACAAACGATGCTGACAGGTAATAACATGCAGAAATATTTAGGATACAACGAAATAACACATTGTCCATTCTATTTTTGTTTGCTGTTAAGTGTGTGAAAATGCATCAGTACATCATTAAGCACTGATATAAAAACAGTGATTCAACTGTACTGATTCTGGATGATTACAATACTACAATTTTATATGTGGTCATTGTATCGGCCAAAATAAAATTCTCAGGTTATTTTTAAATGTGGCAAGGGTAACAGCCTACAGTAGAATGAAACATCTGTTCAGATGAAACCACTGACATACAAAAATGCACAATTTATTTTAGAGCATAAGTTGATGCACAAATCAGACATGAAAACTCATGATCAGTGAAAAGGGGACAAGTTCAGGAAACAATGCCCTGTGGTGGAGTCCAGCAGCATCGTTCCTAGGAGAAAATCATAGTGATTTTAACATGAAAATCTGGTCCATTATGGTGACTCTGTTGCCGTGTTGTGTTTAGGAAAGAGGAGGGATTCTCTCTCAGAAGTATCTGCTGGGAGTAGATCGAATGAACAGAGGTGACTGCAGTGTAGTTCATTGCTTATTGTTTTCTGTGTAGCTTTTGTTTCTGCTGTTTTATCCTCTCCTCCATGTTATCTTTCAATGTTATTTAATAATGCTGTAGCTGAGAACTTTCGAAAGCTTCTTCACCTTCACCATGACAGCTACTTGTTGCATTAAGTCTTCCCAATTAATGTTGTCTTGACACCAGGAGCAATTTGCATGAAAACATTTTTATTTTTGCAGCACTGATGTGTAGAACCTGACTAATAAGTATTTTTATAGTGTCTAAATACACTTTCATTCTCATTTTCATTTGTTAAAACTATCCTTGTTTATGTTTACAAATTCATACTTTATGAAAGTACAAAGTCAAAGACATAGATGTTAAAATCTGAAGTAGATGTATGCACTGGAATTATATCAGATAACACAAGGGTACTTGCTCCCCTTCACCCTTCAGTGTGCATCAAATGTACCGTGTTCTCCCACCTGTACATGCTGCAGTATCTGTTTGACGCACCAGTCACCCAGCTCTCTGTATTTCTCTGCCTGCTTCTCCCTGCCCTCCGTCAGCTGATCCACAAGACATAAGAGCATCATGGGAACAGCCATGCTGTTGACAGGTGGATCACCAGGCAGCTGAGGCCGACCCAGACCCGACGAGTCCACCCGGATCCAATGCACCAGTTGATCCATCATACTTTCTGCATCAGCCTATAAAGAACACAAGGACGTACAGTGTGAATAGTCCAATATAGTACTGATGTTAGAATGGGAAAAAGTTGGGACAGTGGGAAAAATTGTAAATAAAAACTGTACATTGATGCACATTGAATGTTCAGCTAATTAGTTGTGTGTGTGTGTTGTGAAAGTAAAAATTTTCCCCATTCTTGTTTGATAACACTTCAGCTGCTCGACAGTCTGGGGTCTCCATTATTGTATATTGTGCTTTATAATGCACCACAGATTTGAATGGGAGACTGGACTGCATGCAGGCCAGTCTAGCACCTGCACTTTCTTACTACAAAGCCATGCTGTTGTAACACATGCGGAATGTGGCTTGCTGTTGTCTTGCTAAAACAAGCAGGGATGTACCTGAAAAAGACATCATCTAGATGGCAGAATACGTTGCTTTAAAATGCATATGTACCCCTGAGCATTACTGAGGCCTTCACAGATCTGTAAGTTACCCATGCCTTGGCACCAACACAGCCCTCTAATGCAGGCTTTGAACTTTGTGTTAGTAACACCAACCGTTCTTAAGAAGAAATTTCTTCTTAAAACCTATTTACACAGTTTTCACAAAGATACTGATATTCACCTGTGTTTTCTTGTTTGGGATTTGTTCTTAGATAAGAACGTTGACTTTGTCTTAGGAAAGGAATCTTTTCTCAAGAACACATTTAAGAAAAAACGTAGGAAGATACTAATGAGACCCAATTTGTTCATTATTTCAGTTCATTATTTCCTAAAACAATTTGAAAGGTGAACTCATCCGACTACAACACATTTCCACTTTGCACCAGTCAATCTCAGATGAGCTTTAGCCCAGAGGTTGGCCACAGTCTCAATACTGTTGATATAGGTCTTCCGCTTTGCATGGTAGAATCTCAACTTTCATTTGCAGATACAGATACGATGGAAGATATTTATAGACAAGGGCTTTCCGAAGTATTCCCAAGCCCATGTGGTTATATTAATTACAGAAGCATAGTAGTAGTGCCATCTGACGGACTGAAGATTACAGGCATTCATTATTGTGTTTTTGACCTCATCCTTTACGCACAGAGGACAATTTTCTGGCAAAGTGGCGTGCCTCGACTCATCCTCGCTCACGAAGGACTGGGCCTGTCCTGGATGCTCCTCTTGTAACTAAGCATCACCTTTTTAAGTTGTTCTTTGGAATATTTCATACTGATTCTAGCCTTAAATTTGCCCCTTCCCAACTTTTTTGGAACACACTCCAGTCCTGCGTTTCAGAATGAGCATATATTTACAAACAGTAATTACACATCTTGTCACTTTCTGTTTTTATTAGCTTTTTACCTTTTACCTTTATTAACAAATCAGTTATGCTAGATGCTTAGAGACTGGCCTGCATTATTCTGACCAAAATTATTTACTTTTGTTGGATTACATGAATATCTTAGCAAACAGAAAAAGACACCCACACAACATTGTGATTAGCTAGAGGCTCATTTGGCTTTTCAGACTTCTGTCTTGCCAAAACCTTTCACGATAACAATTAACACAGAATATCCTAAATAGATATTTAATCAGTGTCTCATTTAATTTCAATACAAAAATTAATAGTTGACGTCTGGGGTTAAGTTAGCAATTCATGCAGGCTAATAAAAAAAATAAAAAAAAAATCACTTACATAACGAGCCCTAACTGTACGGAATATCTTCTGTTGGGCCTCACTGCACATTACTTCTATTTAATAACACTGACAGGGCCAGGCTACAAGGAATAACTGTGAATTAAAATTTTCACCTGCATCTCTTCGTCTCCCGTGACTCTGGCCAGCTCATCCATAGCCATGACATAGAAACACTCGCTGAAGATTGTCCTCTGAACCTTCACAGTACGGCCATCCCTCGTCAGACAGAACGCACACTTCCCTGGACCATCTGACGACCGGACTCGAGCAAATCGCTGAAGGAAAGCACCACCTGAATGATAAACCAAAGGGTTCTGGTCTATCTGCCTCACTTTAATTTAATCTTATACTCCTCTCATGTATGCATGTCTTGTGTTAAAGCTACAATAGGTTTCAGAGGTCAGGAGACGGGGATGGCCACGGCAAAACACTGATTCTGTGGTCAGTGAACCAGCATCTTTTTCAATGCTAACATATGAACACTGTATAATAGTGCTGATATGAACAACATAGTGGTGACAGCACAGTGGAGAACAATGTTGCAGATGTGAAAGGTTCGATTTCCAGTCTAGGCAGGAGCACCACTGCTACACCACTAACAGTGCTTACCACTGTACATTGAAATTCCCTAAACGTAGAGTCGTATGCAAACGTTTGGGTCACATTACAAATTGTATACATAAGGGAAAATAAGTCAACACATCCTCTAGAGAGGACACACTTTATTTATTCTGCACACTTTACTGCACAATTACTGTCTATTTCTATATTGGGAAAAATATTGAAAAAATATTGAACTTAGAAACTGTAAACTAAAAGTTGCAAAAAATGCTATTTACAGCTGACAAACAGTTAAATCATTTGAAACTTGATAGCTTCAAGCTAGAATATTCTATAGTAGTACAGGCTGTTATAAACATCCGTACTGCTTAGAGAGCAACTGACAAACCTGATCTGGCAGCTTCAAGGATCTCAGGCCGGTGAAACCTTTCAACTGTGCGGTACAGCCGGCAGTACATCCACACCTGAAGCAACATTTACAGATCTTTACAGCCAAACCTTGTTCTTCAGCAAGCACTACGGAGAATTATCCATCAATAGCTGATGAGGGTTTTCTTTAGACTAGAAAACAGGTGGATATTCTTACCTGTCTGCCCTGTAACCACACATATTTAAGTTCATCATAGACCTTCCCATCTTTTCCAATGCAGGTGAAAAACCCACTATGACACAGAAAAGCAAAAATCAAAACTTACAGAAGTCATTTGATTTTGTTGTTAACTCCGAACTTGCCACCAAAAAACCTACAGGAAATTTACAACCCGATCTCTTAGTTAGGTTTGACATTCCAAAAGCACGACAGAATGACATTACTATGTATTAGAGTGAGAAACACTTTAAGTACTGTCTCTACCATGTTATCATTGTTTATTCTGAAAAACTTTTTGAGTTTAAATATATATAAGGTGTTCCACAGGCCCATATGTTAAGCCCACTTCCACACTTACTTGTCCCAATGTGGGTGCCTGCAGTGTGCATTGTTTTATTCTTACTTCAACATAACTAATTCATCTCATTGAGCATTTGAGAATTAGCCCTAAGCTTTCACTGCTAAGCAGCAGGTTATTTCACAAAGCAGGACTTTCCAGTAAGACAGATAACTTAGGCCAGTCTGTCAAATATGAGGAGAGCTGAGGAGCAGAGGAGCTGTTTGGCAATCCTGACATTTGTCTTAAGTTATCCAGCTTACTGGACAACCACTGGCAAGGTGAGGCAAGGTAACAGCAATACTGAAGCTCTTCTTTCTGTATTTTACATTGGCTAAAGAAGATATTCAGAGCAGGATCCTGATAGGGAAGGAAGACAATGGGCTTCTTTCACCATCCGTTCTTAAGAAGAAATCTCTTCTTAAAACCCACTTACGTAGATTCAGACATTCACCACTGTTTTCTTATTTGGGATTTGTTCTTAGGTAAGAACAGAATCTACACACTCAAGAGCAGAGATGCAAACAATTCTGTGATTCATGAACACGTCATGGATCTGACAGACTTTTTCTTTGGACCTTTTGTAAGAACAGATTTTAAAAAGAACTTAGGAAGATATTGCCGAATGAGGCCCAATCTTTTTAATGTATAGAAAATAAAAAGAAATATTAGATTATTTCACCCATATTGTTCGTCATGAGAATATTTCAGCCAGAAATCCACAACTCTGTCCAGCTCAGTCTGTATTCTCTTGCGATACTGCTCCAACAGTACTGCCATGATAGTGCCTTCAAATGACAAACCAGAGGTTAAGAGTAAACACCAATATTATGAGTCACACAGTAGCATGAAGATATTTATAGAAATAATGGATTCAGTATATTCAGTATCTACAGTGATTTATTTAGTTAAACAAAAGCAACTTTTTAGAGAAGAAAGACTTTCTCTGATAGTCATGAAATTGTAACAGGATGCTAAACTTTTTATCTTGGGGGACCAAAAAGATGAAACAACACACAAATAAAGAAGGTAATTAGGTTTCAAGTGTATTTTGCCACATTACACTATATTGTGATACTAAAATACTTTAAGATACAATTTTATAAGGACAAGAAGAATTGAACAAGTTATATACTGTATATGTTTGCTCTTTCATTGGGTGGGGTTTCTGGTGGGCCACACTTTGTGCAGCCCTTCACTAAATGAATAATTTCTTTTGGCTTTCAACTGCTTCTCTGTTAATGGTTACTGGAACACAAGACAAGGAGAAAATCCTACAGTCAGCTAATGTACAAACTTCCTTTTACACAGAAATCTTTCTAAGATAACACTGTTAAACCTTATTATTTGAACTGTATGTACTAAATCAACAGATATACAGGCTACTTGTATCCAGCACAATCAAGTGCTTCCTTAACACCATGTGCTTCTGTATTTAACTCGAAATGTACCGACAATGGCACTTATGCACAAAGCTTCTCAGATTAGGAGTGCTGATCTAGGATAGGTTCCTATTAGTAAGATCATCTTAATTCATCAGTACTATATCAGTACTCCTACTTTTAAAATTTTTGTCAATATGGGCCAATGTTGGGCACCAGATATGAGCAGAAATTCTTTTTAAATGTGCACAAATGACCCAAAAAATGATAAGAAGAGTACTTTATTACTTTAAAAATCTTTGTTTAACTTACATTACGGTTCTAAGGAAAGTCATTTAGCAGAAATTACACAACAGCCTGCTGGATATCAAGGCCAGACAAGTTGATGAGTCAGTAATTCTTGTTTCAGCTTAAAAGGAAGGAGAGGGACAGGATAGAGCGCTGTGCTGTTGTAGCAGAAATACAGGACGTTGGTTCAATAAAAAAAGAGCTTTTCTTATTGGTCCATACACTACATACTGAAAATATAAGAACAGACTGCACTAATACACAAAGTGCACATATGTTTTGGTTTTGGAGTTTTTCCTTTACAAAAGGTAGCTCAACAAGTGTTAGCCTGGATGATGTGTTGTTCTGGCCTCAAAACAGCTGACTGGAAAATGGACTTAATGGGTGCTTCCAGCGTTCAGGTTCACCCTAATGCTAAGCAAAGCAAATAGCATTAGTGGCTAAGTGCCCTTAGTGTGTTTTAACGCAGGTACACTAATGTGTCTCAGTCCTTACCCCTCCACAGCCATCTAAGCTTCAAATGTTTCACAGGATAAGTGTGCTACCACTCATATCAGCCAGCATTTCATACAAAAACCAGAAAGACCTTCAACTCAAAACCATTGGATAACAGCATACCAGGCTAACAACAAACACATGAACGAACAGATAAACTCCGGCACTTTGTACCAGCTAACCACCCCGACCTGCCCGGACATATCCTATCACTCACTGTCACTGTCACTCCCTCACAGACGCGTTTATAACACACTCCTCTTACCAGTTCGGTGAAGGTCCAAAAGAAATCGCCTCTCTTCCTCTCAGTCCTATCTGAACGGCATGTCTAACTTCAGTACCGCGGGTTTGTGTCGGAACTTTGTAGAGAAAAGCGAGAAAAGCAGAAACGCAGAGCCGCAGACTCCTCAGTGGAAAAGCTCCAGCAGCATATCATATGACCAACCCGCAGACAGCTGGTACTGTTTACCGCCTTCCTCGTCGCTCATTGGTCAGCTGCTCTCTCTCTTTCGCGAATCAGGTACGAGGAGAAAAATATTGCGGCGTGTTTGAAAGCGTCAAAAAAGCACTGCACTTGCGCATAAAATGTACTTTCAGAAATTCCGATATCAGCAGACTGATTTTACCGCTCAGGGTTATTATAGTTTTTACTATTTTGCTAAGTTTTTGTTTTTATTTAGCTTTTTACTTTGATTGTCGATCCAGTTTAGTTTTTATTAGTTTAAATAGGGATGCACCAATATTGAAGGAGTAGGCCGATGCCAGTGTCTGATATTTTACATACATATCTGCCGATTCCGATACTACAGAGAGCCTAAGCTGACATGGTGAAAATCACTGTATTGAGACCACAAATTAATAAATTGAGTCCATAAATTGCTATTTTGAGGCCACAAGTTATAAGAAAACGTAACTCGTAGCCGCAGTATATCAATTAATGGACTCGTCTTATTATTATTAAACAATAATCACCATGTCAATTTAGGGGCTCCATACGATACTGATGCAAACACTTAAAATGTATTAAATATACCTGGATTAGACTAACATTACAAACAAATATAACATTCATTTCTATAAAGTTACAAATGCTGCAAAAATAAATAAAATTCAGATGTTTATGCACAGTAACAGCATCGCCTAAACATTCTACTCAGAACTATCAAATCTAAACATACATCTGATATCAATTTTATTTTTAAAATCTTGCATAGTCGTGCATCACTAGCTGTAAGAGTGCACTAACAGTTTTCATTTTAATTCTCTGAAAATTAAGAGT